ATCCATCTCTACAATGTAAAATTATTGGACCCGCACAAGGAATATTTGATTGTCTTTCCAAAACCCTTCCAATTAAATCTAAAAGTGATTTGGCTGAATTTGGAATAGATGCTCCACTTGTCCATTGTTTAAATGAATATTGAAGAACATCTCTTCCCGAACTTGAACCTCCTTTTTCTGTTTTCTTAAAAATAAAAAAATTATTATCTATGAAGAGGTAAAGATTTAGCAGCGGACAGGCATCGATAATGCGAACTTCAGGCAATTACTAATTGTAAAAGCAAGGGATGGCTCTCCTTCGCTTCCATCTCCTACTTTTTAAATACGTCAGTGCCTATCCGTGTTAGGTGCCTGTGATAACCACGTACAAGTAGTTCACCGAGTTATCAGGATGCTGCTTTCATACTTTTTAAACACACGCTTAGTAAGCATCGTTTAAATGGCAGCCAGCCTGATCTTCCCCTATTTCTTACAAACTATTATAAAAATATTAAAAAAACTAACCGTAAATCGATAATGTAACTTCCTTTGAATGAAATATGGCAAGACAACTTCCTCAGTTAAAGTAATAATTAATTCATTATTTTTTCCAAGAACTAAACGTTTGCTTATTTCTCTCGGCCAGTACTTTTAAAAAATAAAATTAAAAAATATTTTTAATTTAAAGAAAAACCATTTCGTGTGGCAAAAAATCTTGTTCAGTAGAAAGCATTACAATTGTATATGTTTGTTGATCATTAATCATTCGCCAAAAATTAAATGCTGTTTCTGGTCCGAGAGGATCTTAAAAATTGAACAAAAAATAAAAATATTTTAAATTAATTTAAAAACCTTGTGCAAAAATATATGGATAAAGATGACCCTAAAAATTAAAATTTTATATAAATAAAAATATAAAATATTATCAAGCACTACTAAAAATAATGATTACAAGGCAAGAATACAAAGCAAAAATTATTAGGCCTGTGAAGGAATCGAACCCTCCCCAAAAGTAGGTGTAGTCAAATACACTACCCAATACACCACAATGGAACTAGGCAAATAATATTTAAAAACGTATTCAAACACAAAGAAAAACTAAATAAAATTATTCGGAATTAAATAACCATTCAAAAACAATAGAGCTCAAAAAAATAAAAAAAATCAAACCTTAATTAAACTAGCATTAATATAAGTATTATTATCATATCCAATTATTGGTTGAAGATTAACTCTATTATAATTATAGGGAACAGCTACAGAAAATCTATTTTTTGCTGCGTTTTCTTCTTTAAGTGCAATATCTGCTGGTTTTGATTTCTCTAATGAAATACTGAGATCCTAAAAATAAGAACGTAAAAAAGACAATTTAAAAGAAAATAATTTAATAATAGAATTAACCAAAAAAATTTTTTGCGAATATTGAATGAATCATTCGGAAATGAAAAACAGTTAACCTAACTATAAATCAGTTCTTTTCGTGAAATAACTGTTTGTTATAAAATTCATAAAAAAAATTTAGACGGTAAACGGATCTACCATAAAGTTATTAACACCGTTTATGTATTAGTTTATTGGAGAAATCTTAAACAAAAAAATTTATATCATTGCGTAAACATGCAGTTAATTGTTCGGCATCTAAATATACAAACTTTTCGAAAGGTATCGAGACCCATAATTAAGAAAAAAAATATTTTTTTACTCAAATATTCGTTAAAGAAAAAAAGAAAATTTAAAAAATTTAATTTACAAAAAAACCTGAAATTCTGCTTCTAATTTATTTCTTGGAGGTAAACAATTTTGTTGTTGTTGACATAATAAATTTGAAGGTATTTTATTATTTAAATCTTCTTTATCCCTCAATAATTTTAATTTAGCTCTCACAACAGCCCCAATTCCATTATTTGTGTTTTCATAATTTTTTAAATTTCGTCTTTGGTCATTCACAAAAAATTGGACTGCTGAAGTTGAATTTTTTGAATCATTTGGAAAATGGGCAGATAATCCGTCTTTGGAAAGTTTTTGGGTTAAAGGAAGCTTTAATTTTAAATAATGAAGTTTATAGTCTGACAAATTTAAATCTGTATCTCCAAAAAGTTGAAATTCTGCTAAAGCTTTGTAAATAAAGACATATTGTTCCTGAGAAAAATAAAAGAGAAAATATATGTAGTTGTAATTTTTTTAAATAATTTAAAAATGGTTTGAGAGAGAAAAAGTTAATTTTAAATTTTCTGAATTAGTAAATGTTTAATCGAGTATTGCAGACTAACTCCTTCCTAAAAAATTTTTAAGATTCTTGATCTACCAGGTTTTTCTTAAACAAGTTTGTGAATTACAATTTAAGAAAAAAGTCAGGACGAAATTTCAAACTTTTTTCTTCAGAATGAGTATTTGGGTAAAAAGTCCGGGTTTTTTCCAAAAATCTTTCAAAAATTATTTTCTAATTTTACCATTGATTGAACCATTAAATTCCTTTGTTGTCTCATTTCAGTAACACAACCAAAAACATCAGCCATTCCCGTATCCAAAATTTGGTCCATAACATAATCAATTGCAATAAAAGTTCCTGTACGCCCAACACCGGCACTAGAAAAAATAAAAATTTTTGAAATAAAAAATTTACAAAACCTGCAATGTATAACTACTGGCCAATGATTATATTCCTCCATTTTTCTTAATTTACATATTAGCCTGAGTAATGCTGTTGAACATTCTGGAGCTCTGTAATCGTTCCAAGACGTGAAATGGTATTGCATGATACGCCGCCTTTCTAGAATTTTATAAAAAAAATTAATTTAATATTAGAAAGTCAAATTAAATGAAAAATCTTCCTAATAAGAAAAATAAGTGTTGGGTCTGACAAAGAAGTTTAAACAAATTTTGGATTAAAAATGAGGTAGGGTAGCAAAATTGTTTCCAAATTTAAATCTAGATACGGTCCCTTAATATATGCAAAATACTGTTTATGAAATGTTTGACTATTGTTGACATTTCCGCCCTAATGGTTAATCTAAAGGACACATCTTATATGATTAAGGATATTTCTTGTTCTAGAATAAAAATTTTAATAGGTCAGATTTGCGGGTAAATTTCATTTAAAAAAATCGAATTATAAACCTCTTCCATCGCCCATCGAAGCTCTCTCACTACATTTTGAAGGTGGACGGACAATACTAGCAATATTAGCATATTCAGAATCTGGTCGATGGCGGCCAGCATTTGAAGGACTCAAAGAGGAATGACGGTCACTAAAATTGGTTGAGGTAAGAAAAAAGATCAAATTCACTTACAAATCAAGCGGAGATGAGCGAGAATTATAAGAATATATTGAGCTATTCATTTGATTTCCTCCTCCTTTTGCAGCAGCCAATGCAGCATTTAGAATTGATGGAGAAGTAATTTCTGAATTTAAAGGCGGTGATTGATTTCTTCCATTTATAGGCAACACAAAACGATTTTTAGTAATTTCGTCAATCATAGGAGGTGGAGAATTGCTTCCAGTATATCTACTTGCTGTACTACCCGTTCCAGAAAATGTTCTTCCATTGGCTTTAATTTGAGCAGGTTCAGTGTCAGAAATTTCAAAGTGCCTGAGCTTAAACCAAAATTTTCAAAAATATTTTTAAAAAATTAAATAAACCGTATAATCAACATAATAAAATGAATCAAGTGGGGCTACTTCAAGTGTTTTATTAAATACTAAAGAAGGTTCATCATCATCTGGCCAATATTTTGCACATTGCTCTCTTCCACGTTCACGCAAATTTGTTACCTAAAAATTTAAAAAATTATTTAAGTGAAAACGATAAATGGATTTCAGTTAAAATAAGCTCAAAAACTCTAATTTAAAGAGGTGATCAAGTTAAGTGCGCAGAAAAAATATTTTTGGAAAATGGTAAGAAAGTTAACACGACGTAGAGGTTGATAAGAAATTTCAACCAATTTTTTAGATATTTGGGTAAGCATTCTCATTTTTGCATCAAAAAGCGTTAATTTATTTTCCCCTCCTAAGAAATTTTAAACCAAAACTCCAAAGAATTAAAAAAAACAATTTAAACAACAAACCATAATAACAAGTCTACATCCTCTCTCCCAAATCATCCTCCAAAATTCAGGAATAGTAGATTCTAATGGGCCTTGTGTAGCAATAAAAACTTTTCTGCCTTTATATCCTTTAATGAAATTAGCATTTATATAATCTGATGAATTTGTTGGATTGCCAGTTGATTGTTTTAAACGTACACGTGTTGAATCACAAGCTTTTATATCGTTATAACGATTCTTTTTAATATTTTCTCTTCTTTCGCTAATAGTGTGGTCGAGATTCTTCCCACGAGGAAGTAACTGAAAATTAATATTTCAAAAAAGATAAACACCCTTGAAAAGAAGTTGGGTGGTTTTGTGGTCAATTTTTGCAGAAATATTTTTCTCTTTGGGAGAGAAAAATTTCTCTTGAATAAGAAAACCAAGGGAGAAGTCTAAAACTTTGAAGCATAGGCTATCGACGATGCTCTACACGTGGTGTAATTTTTATTTAAAAATTTTTGGTCACAGTTCGGAAGGTTCCCTTGTTAACACCAACATGTAGTTTAAAGATAAGCTTAAATTAGCTTATAAATAAGGTCAATAGGTTTGGTATTTATGATATAGTGGTCCAAAATTTCAGTGTCATTTCTTAGTCATTAAAAATTGAGTCAACACAAATAAAACAACCATCACACATTTGGTATGTTATTTTTACATACAAATAAGATCAGGCCCGTAGCCAGGATTTTTTTCGGGGGGGGGGGGGAAGGGGGAAAAATTTTTATTTTCAGCGCCGCAGGCGAAAATTTTGAGAATTTTAGAAGGCCGTAGGCCAAAAAAATTCACTTTTTCGGCGCCGCAGGCGCCAAAAATTTGATTTTCAGCGCCGCAGGCGAAAATTTTTTGAATTTTGGACCTCAAGAAGCCAGATTTCTTCATTTTTTAGCGCCGCAGGCGAAAATTTTTTAAATTTCAGAGGCCGTAGGCCAGAAAATTCACTTTTTTTTGCCCCAGCCCTTCCCCAAATTTTTTCCTTTTTCCCATTTCGGGGGGGGGGGGGGGGGAATTCCCCCCCTCACCCCCCCCTGGCTACGGGCCTGAATAAGATAACAAACAGCAAGAAAGGGAGTCATAACTATATTTAGTAGGTGAGTCATAAAATGATCAACAATATAACAAAATAAGAACAGAAATTCTAATGTCTCCAAAAAATTTTGAAAATTAAAAAGAACCTCAAATTCCTGTGAAAATTGATAATCAGAATCTCTGTGCCGAAGAATATATTCTGACGGAATTTCACTCGCACGTATTGGCGCAGGAGGAACTACAGGTCTCAACATATCATGAGAAGTATTTTTAACTGGCCAAAATTGTTTAATCATTCCTTTCCTATTTTTAAAAAAATATTTTGAAAATTAAAAATAATTTTTTTAAAAATTAAATACTTTCGTAAAAAGTAGAGAACTATAATTGTTGAAAGAACGAGAAAGAGTACAAGAAATAAACAAATTAAAAACATTTCTAAAGCAGTCATTCCATTTCCATTTATTTGAAGGATGACAGGTGTAAAATAATCTAAAAATATTATAAAAATTTTTTTTGTAAATATTTCATAATCTATTCAGGAATAATTTTAAAACTAAAAAATATTTTTCTTATCATTCTTATTGTTAGAAAGCATAACCTGAAATATCTAAAATCTCCCGAAAAAATCACTAAAAATCCTCCGCGAAAATCCATAATTTAAAGTTAAATGACATCCCATTAAATAAAAATAAATTTTTGAAATATATTTTTAGAAATAAAAATAAGCAGAGATAATTTAGAAGATCAAAAGAAAGTTAGATGTCTTGAACGGACTCGAACCCAGGCAATTTCTCACCGCAGTCAAGAACGATACCACTACACCAAGGAAATTTATGAGAAAAATTTTAATGACCAATACATAAATAGCAGAATAAAAGTAATTAATTTAAAAACAGGACCGGACTAGGCCAAAAAAGGAATTATAAAATTATTTATATTTTTACCAGAATATCCATAATATGCCAAATCAGGATCAGGTAATTGCCTTCTACCAATATGGCGAATTCCTTGTGAATCCAAATTCCAATTAATTTTATTATCGAATGAAGAATTGTACAAATTTACATCTCTATTTACTTTAACAATTAGAAATCCTGTATATTTTAAGTCTGGAACGAGTGCTGGATCAGTAGCTTTAATTTGCATATACGGTAGATTACACGGTTGGACACCTCCAGATGTAGAACCATCACCAACAATTGTCTAAAAAATAAAAATTAGATCTATAAAGGAACGGGCCTCCTTATAGACACCCTTCGGGTTGAAAGATTGGGCCTTAAAATGGCAAGTATCTTAAATTGGGTTATCTCCCAAACCAAATTTAAAAAATTGTACGATGTCTTCGATATAAAAACAAAAATTGACGGTCTGGTTGGGAAAAATTTTTCCGTACCCTTGGATAGTTCACAACCAAAAAATCTAAAAATATAGAACCAAAAATATAAAAATCAAAAGTCCATCACCCATTTTTTAAATTTAAAAAACCTTTACATTTTTCGGCAGTCTAACATAACTTTCAGCAATATAAGCGAAAAACGGTTTATTATCTATTGTAGAATGTAAAAGATTATTTCGCAATGATTCATCAAATGTTCCATAAGCAATTAATTCTCTTTGAGGTAATCCATTGAGAGATGCAGGTAAAGGCAAAATGGCAAGAAAATAACAACTAAAAAACTTGCAAACATTAAAATAAAAATTATTTTTTTCTTACGAAATTGGTCCATTGCTTTGGTCTGGTTCATTCAATAAAAGAGAAAACGAAGAAATATTTGTTCGTGGAAGTGCCTCTGGTGGAACGATATGTTCAGGTTCTGCGTAATCCATTATACATTGACCAACAAATGAGGCAGCGTTACTCTTTCCAGCTCCATTCTCTGCCCATATTGTTGCTTTGTAATTGCGATTTGGCTAAAAAATAAAGAAAATTATTTTTGTGATTAAATAAGAAACTAAAGTTTAAGTAAATAAAGCACGTAAAGATTAACTTTAAGCTCTAGTGTGTAAGCTTCTCAAGAATGCAACCTAGTATTTTAAGTTCTGCCTTGAGATGGATGTCCGGAACTTATTTACTTTTTTGACCCGTTTGAGCTTCGTTTGAGCTTGCGAATAAATGGGGTGTGTACCTAAAGTAGACAAGCTCTGAAAGTCCTGCTAAAGCAGGGAATGTTACTTAAGTATTCTAGCTTAGGTTTGATTCAAAACCCAGTTGGTCAGATAACTGTAATACTAAATCCGATAATTCCCAAACCAAAGCAATGATTAAAAAATCAAACCTTTAAAGGCCCATACTTGCAGGCATAAAAATTATTAGTTTTTGATCTGTCCGGATTAATAAAATGTTCAGAATCTTGTTCATAATTAGAACATCCATCCTTTCCTTGCGGATAATGATCCATCCTTAAATTAGTTTCGGAAACTATATGCCTCATTCTACCAGAAATTTGAACCTAAAAATTGTTTTAAATATCGTCTAAAAATCCAAAAAATATACATAATATCGAGTTATTTGTCCTTTTGAAGTTTTTGGTGGTTTCCATTCAACTTCACAAAATTTATTCATTATATTAGCATTATTTTCATCCCCAACATTAACTAATCTTATTTCTTCCAAAACTGGCGGGTCTGGAAGTCCATCTGCTGTTGATATTTGAATGGTAAATGAAAATTCATTTTGTGGTTCCGCTACACGAATAAATAAAGTATATGGAGTGCCAGGAGAAAGTTGAGAAAATGTAACTGGTGATTTTACATTTGTTTTCCATCCTGTTCTAACACGTCTATCAGAACGTTTCATTAATCTAGAAAATAAAAGAATATACAAAAAGTCCGCAAGATTTATTCGAAAGGTAAGAGTTTAGCCACAGTCGATATGTACTGGCAGTTAATGCTAACAAGGGAACATTCCGAACTGTATGTAAAAATTTCGAAAAAATTTTTGCGCCACCGAGTAGAGCAGTGTCGAAAACCTATTGGCCATTTCTGGCTTTTCCCCCTGACCCCCAAATTGAAAAGTTATAGCTGAAGAAAGTTTTAGTATTTTGGAGCGGCAGTCTCCTTCATTTTTAATATTAAAAAGAGATTTTCTCCTATTAAGGAGACTGAGCTACCGGGGCGCTGCTTAAGCCATTTCCTTTCCAGATTTTAAAACTTTTGCTTATTTGTTAGTAAGCGCTTTAAACGCTAGATAAGCAGGGTTCCCTTCTTTTTACAATTTTCATGTAAAGATTTTTGATAATAAAAATAAGAACTTCTAAAAAAATATCAGAAGACGTCTATCAATTAAAAAATAGAAAAAAATAAACATACTCCATATCAATGATATAAGCTTGCTCATCTTGCGAGTCCCAAGAGATGGTAGCAAATGTCTCATTTGGAAAAATTTTAATATTTTGAATCATACGAGGGGCTAAAAATAAAAGAAAAATTATTTTTTAAATTAAAAAATTTTAAAAGATTAAAAAATAGCAAAACATTTAAAAAACAACAAAAACTAACACACAAAACTTTTTCCTAAAATTAAAAATACGTACAATCCTGAGGTTTGTTTTCGCTAATCCGAATTGTTCTTTTTCCGATAGTTTCCCCTGTTAAGAATATTTTTTGGTTTTTGTATTTTTAAAAAAATAGTCAAAGAAGTCTCTTATGCTTAAATAAATCCTATTTGAATTAAGAAAAATTTGGAAAATAAATATAGATAAGGAGGAAAAACCCCTCCAAATCCCATAGTCCAAAGCCATTAAAAAAACAAACTTTTAACAAAAAATTCCATTGTAATGTTAACTGTTCTGTAGCGAGTATTTGCTGGTTGAACAATACATTGATATACTCCAGCATCACTTAATTGAGTTGTTTCTATATTTAATACCCAACATGTTGGGACCTAAAAATAGAATTTTGCTTAATTAAAATACTCTGGTGAGAGGAGTGTAATAAATTCAATAGACGTCAGTGAATGTTCACTGCGATTGCTCGGGGTTTATTAGAAGGGAACAAATATTGTAGTCACCTAACCAATATTTTATTCCTATTCCTTAAAGAAATATCCAAAAGTCCGGATTTAGGGGAAGAGGTCATTTATTTTTTAACACTAAAAACGAAAATTTCGAATTTTGGAAGGCCAAAAAGTCAAAACTCTTCATTTCTAAAGCCACCTATCTTTTATACTTTTACTTAATAGAGGAATCGTTTAGCTTCCTTGGAGTAACTAAATAACTTTGTTTTTCTAATTGTCCTCTCTCTCAAAGCTAACCCTATTAAAAAATTCTCCAATAAAATAAAATTAAAAAACCGCAAAAAGAGTGTCAATATCACTCGAAAATTTATCATAAGGATTATCAGTAGGTTCACGTCTTCTAGTTCCATTCTGTACAAAATAAACTCCCTCAGCAGGAATAAATCCACGAGGGTCTACATTAACACAACAAGAAATTTGAGCAGAAGTTCCTTTATAAATGGATTCTGATGGAGATGCTGATATTACTGCATTTAATTGACCTAAAAAATATTTTTGTTCGAGGAAAATAATTTTGGGACTAAAAATAAGCTGTTTAGTGAGAAATAAAAATTATTCGAGTTAATGGGATTCGAACCAAAGCAGAAAATTTTGTAGTCAAAAACGATATTACTCAGCCAAAAGTTAAATTAAACGCGTGAAAAAATCTAGAAATACAACAAAAATGATTTTAGAAAAATTTTAGAACACCTTAAAATCCGAAAAAATCTCAGGAAAAATCAAGGAAAAAACATAAAATAAAAAAGAAAATTTTCTTTAAAAAATCCAAACTAACGTTTATCACATTTCATTAAAAGTTTCATTTTTGAATTAGACGTTGTTTTAGTAACCATATTTGTATTATTAAATTCTGGTGGGCATATACATCTCCTCTTAAAAAGAAAAAAATATTTTTAAAAAATTTCGAAAAATATACATGAAAACAAAAAGGATTTCTCATTTCATTTCTTGGCAGTTGAGATGATTCTCCTCTCGAAACACAACTATATGGATTGTGTTCAACACATTGGACTGGGACATCTTTAAAAAATGAAAAAATTATTGGGATTTAGGCGCAGCAAAGCTTGGGTGTAATTTAATTTATTGATTAAAATAAACTACTTGGAATGGCTAAACTTTGTATGAAAATCTTAAATATTGGTACTTAACACCTCCAAAAATTTCAAAATTTCTGATTGTTTTCAGGATTTAGGGCTAAAAACACTAATAAAAATCGAAAATTTCCCCTTAAATTGGCAAATTTTCTAATACATATATCTAACCAAATATCAAAAAGAAAAGAAGCCAACTTAGCGAAGAAATAGTCATTGTCAAGATAACCTAACTAAGCTTAATTTTTCAGTTCAAAATTCTCATCTGACTAATCTATAAGAATTCATGCCCAAGTATAAATCTGCGCCTAAACGTCCCCAAAATAAAAAACAAACTATAAGAACAAGAACTAGAACAATAACAACGGCCTAATCCTGCTCGATCTTTAATACAAACACCTCCAACAACACAATCAAAATTAGATTTACATTCAGGAATACCTTCAAAAATATTTAATTTAATTTTAACAAAATTCCCATTAGCTAAGAAAACGGGCTACTCTCGAAAAAGGAAAATCTATTTTGAAAGAACTCTGCGAGAGTTGAATGGCAACCAAATAAATGAGCGGAATCGAATATCAAGATAATACTCTGAAAATCGAAAAAAACATAGGAGGAGGGAGCAAGCTCATTTTAAGGGTAACCACAGTTATGTTAAAGATAGGCCTCGATTTGGATCCAGAGCCCAGATCAAGACGGGTTTTAAAGTCCCTTGATATTTCCTAGACTTGAAGTCAAAAAAATGGTCAGAGCCCTAACTTAAAATCAAGGGAAAGGGATTTAAAATTTCCGATCCCTAATTTATTATTAAATAAATACCAATATCTTCAAAAGTTCTTCTCCTTCTTTTTGATTTAAATTCATTTTCAGCGTTGGAAATTGAATAAGTAAAAATTAATATTACAAAAATAAAATAAAGTAAATAATAAATATGCAAAAGAGATCCTTTAATTTTTGAATATCCCCTCATTTTTTTAATTAGAAGGAGATTTCTGAAAAAAAATTTAATTTAAAAAATATTAGTGAATTAAAAAATTAACAGTTACTAAAACATACAGAAAAAATATCGAATTAGGCAAAAAAAACAAAAAAACAAAAATCATTAAAAAATAATGGACGTTTCAGTGCTTATTTTCAACGTCTTGACATAACTCTGGTCGAAAACTTTTTTGTTTTAAACCATTTTTATTAAAAAGTAAAAGCATTTAAAAGCTCTAAATTTTCGAATGATATACTTAGATTGATAAAGAAAAAGTTTTAAGCCGAAAAAAGGAAAAAAAACAAAAACCTAAATTTAGGCAGACCAGACACTCAAATTTTAGCGTTGAAAAGTCCCTTACTCGATTTTTAGAAAAAGATAAAATGCCAATAAATTACAGTATATTTGCGAAAAAAAATTTTTTAATTAATTAAAGGAATCCCTAAAAAGTATTTCCTCTTTCTCATTTTTTTGAATTATCATTATCAAGAATTATTATAGAAATACTTTGATATATTAAAAGAAAATGCTAAAAATGGACTGGGTAGTAGTAGAGAGGGAAAAGTGGAAAAAAGTATTTTCCTGGGACTTACTTTTTTAATCAGGTGTTCTTATTCAAAAAATGCGGACATATAAGAAGATTATAATTTAATGAAAAAAAGTAAAGTAGTTACAGAAATAGTTTAAAGATTTGTTTTAGACGTTTAGTTAAAGATTAGTCAGAATTACCGAAAAACGGACAATTAACCGAAAACGGACAATTCACCGAAAACCGGACAATTCACTGGAAAGCGGGCAATTCACCGTAACCCAGACAATTCACTGAAAATCAGACAGTTCACCGAAAACGGCATTTTATCAATAATTGCCCGAAAAATTTTCTTAAAAAATTTATTGAAATTTTTTTGTCATTTTAAGATTTTCACAAGTTTAATAATACTTCCAAATCCCCTCCTTTAATTAATTTTAATGACTAATACATAGTCTGTCAATAAAACGACACTGTATTAATTATTTAGATAGAAGGGGAAAAAACAAAAAAAGTTGTTTTCAATTTATTTATTTTTCAAAGTTACGTCAACAATTCCTTTTTTCTCTCCACCTTCTCTATTTTTTAGTTCAAATTTTTATTATGTAAAATGGGACCTGAACATCCCTTAAAATATCAATTTCTTTTTAAATAAAGGATGTTTGGGCGCAGAAATGTTTTGGCGTGAACTTATATAAAATCAATACAAAAATACTTGGAGACCTAAAATTTAGCAAAAATATCTTTAACATTGTTAGCTAACTCCTCTAAAAATTTCAAAATTTTTAGTTTTATATTTTAGAAGTTATTATCGAAAACGTTTAAATTTTCTATTAAGTGTCGATTTTTTCTAGTTCTTTGACCAGAAATTCTGAAAGGGTTAACTAAAAATTCTGAAATTTTGGGAATACTTGGATAACACATTAGGGTATATCTCTACAAAATTTCATAGCTCTAGATGCTCATTCAAGTATTTTATAAGCGTTAGCGCCCAACCTTTACCGGCGCCCAAACTTGTTCCAATTACCCTCCAAACATCCCCATTCGATAATAAAAAAAAGAAATTCTTTTCCTACTCCAAAAATTGTTGTCTCGTCACTAACCACTTCCGTTCTAATCGTTCCACGATAACAATTTTGGGGGTGAGAAATGGGTGGTTTTTAATTAAGAACAAAAATATCGCGCACAGAAAAGGAAAGAAGAGAAAAGAAGATAAACAATTAAAAAAGGGGGGAAGGAAATTAAATTGAAAAATAATTTTGGTGGGGACATTCACGAGAATTTTAATTTTTTTAAATTGAAGACAATAAATTTGGACTTTTATAAATTGATTAATTATTTTTTGGAAATCTGTGAGGATAGAAAGGGGTATTTACCTTATAAAAGGCAGACCTTATAATGAGAGGTACATTAAATGGAGAGTATTGTTTAAAAAGCTAAAGAAGAGGTACCTCCTTTTAGGAAGAGGTACCTCCTTTTCCAGCCCTTTTAGGGGCGGGAATGAGGGGTACATTAAATAGAGGATATTGTTTAAATTTCTCTTTTGCCTCAACTTAATTTTACAAAATTCAGGTGTTCTTAAATTTAGGTATATGTATCTGGTTATTAGGGGTTGTTGTAGAGTTTGACTGTAAAAGAAAATATTATAAATTAGTCTTCAAATCTGAAATTATTTTCTATGCTCATTTAGGTTGTCAGTTAGATGACCTGTTATACATATGTAATTTGAAAAATTGGAACGGGGGAGAGGTCCAACCATTACTGGCGCCCAGACTTATTCCAATTCCCTCCAAAAAACAGAGCTACAGAAAAATCTGCGAAAATCGGAAATCGAAAGAAAAACCCCTCAAAAATCGAAATTCCAAAACAGATCTGGGAGAGGTGTACAAACTTCCCTTTTATCTTGATTTTTTCTGTTACAGAAAGTTAACTGTATTTTTGTTGGGGAATAATAGAAAAATATTTAAAAATTAAAAAATTGCTTATAAATTTAAAGAAAAGTGAAGAGCAGATTTTTAAATTTTTTCGAAAAAAAGATTTTTAAATTTCCTCTACTATTGTCAAAAAATAAAAGAAAATAAAAAAAAAGGGGGGATGAAGAAGAAAAAATGTTTTAAGGGGCAGATGCTTTTTTTTAATTTTTGATTGATTGATTACTTGATTGATATTTAATTGAAAATATTTTTCTATAAAAATATGTAGATAATAAATAAATAAATTGCGCAAAAGAAGCCTTTTTAAATAAAGAAATTAATTAAAATATTTCCTAATCCTTCCCTCCACGTGCCCTCAAGGATTATTTTTTAAAATCAAAATTAATATGTATTATTTAAATTAAACATCTTGAAAAATTATTTCTCTTTAAAATCAACGAAAAAAGAATATTTTGATAAGCTAACAATAAGACAAGAAAAAATCTACTATAAATTTATGGGGACAATTCACCGAAAGTGACAATTTACCGAAATTGAATTAAATCAGAAAATATAGAAAACACATTTAAAGAAAGATTATTTTTTTGCTTTAAAATATTTATTAAAAATAAAAGGAAGTGAAATTAAAGAGCTTATTGTGTTTTTTACAAAAAAATATATTAAACAGGGCTAATAAATATTTTTCGGTGAATTGTCGTTTTCGGTGTAATGTCCTCAATCATTCTAAAAATTAATTTAAAAATCCAATCTAAGCCATTAAAATAAATAAAAAAATTTTTATTTAAAGACATGCCATAATTAAAAAAATCAAGGAAAATAACATTAGAAAAACTAAAAATGTATAAATTATTTATTAAAAACATAAATGACTCATTCAAAATAACCAACAACACAAAACTCGCGCGGCCTTTAATATTCCAAATATTTCTAAACTACTCACTGCTCATTCTCAATCCATTTCTCATCTTATGACAAAGCCGCTAGCACACATCTGGCACATTTAGGGTTAAATATGACTGCGCTCTTTTATTCTCTTTAGGGCTTGGCTGGCAAAGAAATACTATAGTACTTGGGGGTGTTTCGGCGCGAGGCGTTTTAAGGCGCTCACTAAATAGTTAAAAAATAAAACAGAAAAATAGAGAACTTTCTTAAACATTCTTTAGTTAAATTTTTCAGAATTTTAAATTAAAATTCTGATCAAAAATTCTGATAGTAAAATACTTCATTTTTCAATTTAATTTAAAAATTTTTCATAGCCCCAGGCAATTTTTTGCAGATTTATTAAAGCCGCGCCGTAATGTCCCCGCGCCGAATGCTCCTACATTACTCATGGAAATATCCTTTCCCTTTGGATCCATTGTGAAGTGTGGGTTTTCTTTGGTCTTTTATTACTTGCAAAAATGTAGTTAGTAAAGGAGAAGCTTTTTTTTGTCTTCCAAAGACTACCCAAACAAATAAAAAAATAAATTAAATAACAAGTGTTTTTTGTTGTTAATATTTAATTATTAAATATAGCCAATTGCTGTTATATAACAATTAATTAATAAAAAAAGGTTAGAAGAAAATTAGTCAAAACCTATTTAGATAATTAATTAACTTATTAAAAAGTAAAGTAAAAAGAAAATTTAATTTAGTATTTATTGATTTTAATTTTTTTTAAAATTAATTTTGTTAAAAAGGGAAAGATTAAATTTGTAAAATAAAAAATTTTTAAACTGATGAGATTTTTAAACTTTCAATTTTTTCAATTATCTTTTTATAAAATTTAAGCTTTTTCACATAAATGTAAAAAAAGAAAAAAAACGGTGAGAGCAGGGAGGAAAAAAGAATTGAAACTTTGAAGAATTTTTTGGATTCTTGGAAATGTAGTTGAAGTTTTTCTTTCCTATTGGGGAAGTTTAGAGAGGAAAAAGAATTATTAGAGCCTTCCAAGACTCTTGGTCTTATATCTTGATTCCAGGACTTCTTGGCTTTTCTCAGTCTTAGTTTTGGAATGAAGTCTTGGTGAAGTTGAATGAAGTCTAACAATGAAGTCTGACCATTGCCTTCTTGGGTCTAGTCTTGGGTCTTGGAAACTTTTCGGTCTTGAAAGGCTCTACTAATTATATGATAAGGTTGTCAGTTTCCTCAAATTTCCATAAACAACCGAAACAAAACATCAAAAAAGTATTCCAAAAAAGCCTCAAAATTTCAATTTTTTTACTGCTCTATAAAATTAAATAATAATATTATTTTTTAATAATAAAAAAATTCAAATTTCTCATTTATTTACTTCTACACATGTCTAATAATACATTTAAACTTGCAGGTAACCATTGCCTTCTTGGTGGACTATAGTAAAATAATACAGTTGCATCCATATAAACAGAAAAATCTCCAAACATATAAACTTGCTTTCCATCATGAAATTTACTTCTTTGAGGGAAAAATTGTATTCCATTAGATATAGCACTTGATTCGACTAATTGTTTAAATGAAGAAGGGGGTAATTGAGAAGTAAATTGGGGAGAAGGTGGAGGTAAACCAAAAGGTCCAATAGATGATAATGGTTGAGGTTTTGACTGTTGATGAATTCCAGGAATATTTTGACCGGTTAAACGATTTTGACATTGTGCTAATAATTGAAGTATTTGTCTTAATTCGCCTAAAAAATAATTATTATATTTAAGATTAAATATTTTTGAATCATTAATTAAATTAATTTCGGTAGAGAGAGGGGACTAGAAGTAACTTAAATAATGTATTTTCTCTAAGATAAAACCGGGGGTTATTTTTTCGATTGACCTCTAGAGGGGGCTATTTTAGGAAGGGGGATTATTTTAGATAAAATAGGTATAAGTTCCCTCTAAATCTACGACAACTTTTCCATGCCAACTCACAACAGAATTTATAAAAAATATTAAAAGCTGCCCGGACAACACTAAAGTTCCTAGTCTTGTATATTATTTAGACTGTTTACTGTCTTTTTAATTTAACATTTTGAGTTCTGAAGATTAATGGAAACGTAAAATTCTTCTCTGATAAAATAAATACCAGTAAGGGACTCTTCCACTTCTTTAAAAATGGAAGGCGAAAGAAGGTAAAAAACGGAAGAAATCCTCAAAAAACCTACTCATAACAAGTGCATGTTTTTGTATATCAGTTGGTAATAAATTCTTCCAATCCATATAACCCTTTTTAATTCTTTCCAATTCAGCCATTGTTATAGCTGGATTCGTAACTTGATAGGAAACGTGTTGGGAATACTTTAAAAAATTGTTTTTTTAAAAAAATCTAAAAATATTTCTTACTCTCGGAAAAAAATTTTTAGCCAAAATTTGTGCAATAACATCAACATTAACCATTTCTAACCAATCAAATAATTCGATATATTCAAATTGTTCAGTATTTGAAAGATCAATGTTTTGAAGAAAACGACTCAATTTTGGTAGAATATTCATTGAAATAAATGTGTAAAGAGTACTTGCAGAAAATATTTCTTTCCATGGACGAATACTTTCTATTGCACTTTAATAAAAAATTTTTAAATGGGATTAAAAATGGGATTTTTATTTTTTATTAAACAAAGGACAAGTAGAAAGGGAAGGGAAAACAAAAATTTAAAAAGCTAGACTACACCTTACAGAAATTAAGGGGAACCATTGTTTACCTCGCAGGTAAAAATGAAAAGATTAGGGGCATAACAAGAGTCGTAATTCAATAGGACAATATAGGGGATGAACAAACAAAAGATTCCTACAAAGGATTCTTTAAGAACTAATAATTAGCTTTGGGGAAGGAGGAGTCCTTTGCTTTTCCGCATAAGAATGACTATAAATCAAAATCCAAAGAATTCCAAACCTTCTATCTCCAGGAAGCCAACTATTCAATCCTTTCGCAAGTTTTTGCCTGAGCGTCGCATATGTATGTAACAGACGATCTCCCATAATTGCATGCCAAGGATGCAGCCATGTTTCAATTGGAACTGGATCGGTCACTGGATCCCAATCATCTACTTTAATTTTAATTCTAGGGGCCAAAACCTATTAAAAATACTTTTAATTTAAAAATATTTAGACAAAAAAACCTGTTCAAGTAAATTTTCTAGCACCCAATTAGGCAATATAGGCATCCATTTCTGTACTAGACTGACCATAACCGGGCCATTATCCCTTGGATTCCAAGTAAGAGCTGCTCGGCGCATACTAGGCATCCACCCACTCCAAATACAATGATCATAAGCAGAGATTGAGGCGTCTTTAAAAGAAAATTCAAACAAAAGAATAGAAAGGTTTTAAATATACTTGAATCTTTATCAAAATGTTTGAATAAAGAACCGCCTTTTGTTGATCCCAATATTTCTTTCCAATCTTCCATCATTTCGAAACCGTAAGAAGCGTGTTCTGGATCAAGCGGGTCCCATGTAGAGAAATATTTACTTATCTTAAAAAATAAAAATTAGTGTTAGTATATTTAAAAATTTCATTTCAATATTCGTCAAAAGTGTCTACGGCAAAATTTAAAAAGTTTCTAAATCTATCACCGTTATAGAAATAACTTCAGAATCTTAAAAGTATTTTGAGAATGCGTGTAAAATTAGAATTTATTTTTCAAATTTCCAAAAATCAAAAAGGTTCAGAAACAAAAACACCCCAACTAGTCGTCGACTAACATTAGTTATATTAGAGAAATACAATGCTTAATACAAAAGTAAAAGAAACAACCTTTGGTAATAAAACAGGAATTGCAATAGCATCAAGTCCATACAAAGTATATTCAACAGAATATTTTTCTCTCAAAGTAATAAACAATTCCCTGCATTCCTCCAATGTAGAATTTTCAAGTGAAGATTCTTGATAAAATTGTTTGACAATACTGTAAACTTCCTCAAGTCTAACAATTTCTGCTTTACTTTCAGCCAATTCGTCCTCTATTCGATTTTGCTCATTCAATAAAACTTCGTTTTGATCCTTTTTAAAATAAAAATTATTCAAAAAATAATAAAGGCAAGGTCCTTCCCATGTGTACAGCACGAATAGTCGCGCGGCCATAAGGTCGCGAAGCCATAACTTGCTAAAAAAATTTATTGCCCTTATCAATTTTGGAAACAATCTCTTTAGCTCGATGAGAGAAATCTTTAATACTAATCTGGAAAGATTCGGAAATCTTAAAGCAAGCTATGGCTTGGCGACCTTATGACCGCGCGACTATTCGGGCGTGTCTTTCCCTTCATTTTTAATCACAAAATTGAAAAAAGGGGAGGGACCTTTCCTTTCATACAGTGCAGAATTTCAATTTATACCTTTAAATAACGAACTTGTCTATCAGTTTTACAAATTTCCTCTTCAGTAACATCTAACAAAGTATTTAAATTGTGTGTTAATTCGGGAACGTTGAAGTTTGCCCTTTCCACATCCGCTATTATTGGCATTCTAAATAAATAATAAAAATGATAAAATTAATAAATATAACCTGGCTCTTCTGGAAAAGGAATTAAAATCCTCGTAAATACGCTGTTCAGGGCCTGTCATGTCAATAATCTATAAAAAATTGGATTTTTATTTTTGAATTTTTCGATATTTAAAAGACTGATAAAAAATTATTTTTCTAAATTCCAACCTTTCCAACAGCATTAACTGCCCCAAATCCACCATCACCAAATCTTTGATTTTCTCCTTCACTTATCACGTCATTTAAAGTTTTGTATTGAATTCGAACTTTTCCTGCATTGCTTTTGCGCCATGTTCCTCTCGCAGGAAATTGTGCTGTCTCTGCTTCAGAAAGATTATTTAAACTTCCACTTTGGTTAATCCGATTCTGGGCCTCTGCTGCTGATTCTAAAAAATTTTGGGATTATTAATGGTCACATTAATCAAATTCCAATATCAAAAACGATTATTAGGGAAGAAGAGTGTCAGAATGAATGTCACAAATGACCCGCTTTTCAAAAAAAATTTTTCCTAACATAGCTGAAGATAACAGCCGTAGAAAGGGATTATAGATCGGCCTGGGCCTGGACCAAGGCCTGGGTTTTTCTTGTACCCAGAGTCCAGGTACTTTTTGACCTTTCTGGGGGTTTCCTGGGCCCGGGTTTTTTCCTGGACTACAGACACAGGATCCAATCCAGGTCAATAAATCAACTCCAGAGTCCAGGAACAGGTCCAGGCTTTTAAAAATTTCCGATCTGTAAAAGGAATACTCGTAAATATTTTAAGAATAAAAAACCATTATATAATTAAATACCTCCAAATCTAGGCCCTTTAGCTTCACTTCCATAAGCGCCAACTGCCCCACGTCCAGGCCTTTGGACAGCCTGAACTGGTTCAACAATTCCTTGTTTGCTCTTTCCAAGGCCCTTTCCTTGTTCATAACCCATTTTCTTAAAAAACAAAGAGAATAAAAATATTACATAAAAGAAACCTGCATCATTTGCATAACAACATTTCCTTTTCCAGACTTTAACCATCCAGCATCTGCACCAGATGCACTAGCAAATTGAAAAGCAGCATTTCTGAAACCGGCAAAGACTTCACTTCCAACAGAACTAGTTGATCTTTGATCAAAAGGTGGTTTTGAACGTTTTTCTGGACGTGCTTCTATTGTGATTTCATCATTTTCGGTTGATGTAGACTCCTAAATTGAAAATTGTTTAATAAAATATTAAAAAAATGAAAATTGTTGAAGGGATTGATGAACATAATTAAAAATATTTCGAATTGATAGTTCGAAAAATAATACTTAATAATCAAAAAAAAGTCAAGCTTTCCCCGACATACTGAAATCTCATAGCTGGATTAGTAACGCAGTCGTCAGTGCCCATTTTTTTAAAAATTTTCAAATTAAAAATAGAGAACAGTCAAAAAAATCAAAACCGACAAGGTATATAAAATTAGTGTAGGACAACCGTTTAACAGCCCGGTTAATTTTTCCCTGTGGCGAGGTTTTTTTTCTTTTTGCTCCGCCACAGGGGGAAATTAATCGGTAAGTTAACCAGTTTTGTCCAACTCTATACAGAACCTCCCTGCCCCAACCATGAAATCAATAAAAAATTAAATATCCAACCTTTGATGTCTTTTCAACACCAACAGACACAAATCTAACAGGTCCTTCTTTCCTCTTCTTCCCTGAACTAAATGAAGGTCTAACATCGTCATCACTGTCCTCATCTCTGGCCCAAATTCCTTAGAAATTAAAAATGAATAAAAAATTTTTTTTAAATTTAAACCATAAATTCTTTCCTCCTCTGTTTGTCTTTTAAAACGTCTTGTTCCCGTAGCAAATTCATAATCGGTTTGATCAAAATCAAATCTTTCTGAAATTTCGTCTTCATCCATATTTTGGCTTTATAAGAAAATTATTTAAAATGTTTTAGAAGATAAAACAAAAATATTTCTTTTATTAAAGTGAATTAACACGTAGAAAAGAGTTAAAATTTATTTGAAATCATTTCAATTTTATTGACAAAAAATAAATTATACGAATAAATTAAATGGGACATTACTCAAAGAAAAAATGGGTAATATTGAAGCGTACAGACTAGTGATGTTCGGGAGAAGAAAAAACTCGGGAATCGGGAAACGGGAGTCGGGTCGGGAAATGACCTCGGGAGTCGGGATCGGGAGTCGGGAATTTACAACAAAAAAATTTTTGGCGCCTTCGGCGCCAAAAATACCAATTTTTTGCTATGCAGGCGAAAATTTTGAGAATTTTGGAAGGTCAGGAAGCCAGACATCTAACCTCCTGGATACGCCATTGATGTTATGATCAGTCTCGACAAGCTAAAATCCTTTGTCCGCGCCGCAGGCGAAAATTTTCTTAAGTCGAAGGCTAAGAACCAGACTTCGTCCTTTATTTTTGAGAATTTCTAAGGTCGTAGGCCAAAAAATCCACTTTTTCTGCGCCGCAAGCAAACATTCTGAGAATTTAAGAAACTTCATCGAGGGAATCTTGTCAAAAATATACCCCCAATAACTAGTTCCAGAACTAGTTTCCAGACATTTACTAGTTCCGTCGTTCTAGTTCCAAACTAGTTATTATTTAAAAATTCTAGTTCCAAACTAGTTATTATTTAAAAACATTTCCCAGCCCTGGATTCGAACCCAGCCCCAACAAAGCAACTGAAGTCGCTCAAATAACCACTCAACCACGTCTCAACAATAGTTAAATTGGAAAAAATTTAAATATTTTATTTTTCCTTTCTCTTTTTTTATTTTTTTTCTTTATTTTTTCCTTTCAAAAATAAAGTTTTATGAGAAAAAGCCATTCTTAGGGGTGTAAAAATTTCCCGACTTAGTCGGGAATTGGCATCGGGAGTCGGGGTCGGGATCGGGAGGCCAAAAACTCGGGAAATTTCCCGAGTCGGGTGTCGGGAGTCGGGATACCCGAACATCACTAGTACAGACCCTCTTTATTCCTTCACAATTTTTCCCCTATATTTCTGCAGAATGGTCAGACTTTTTCCTTTCTTCCATACAAATTGACTTTCTAATTTTTGCCTACAATCAAACAAAAAGGATTATTTCTTGGTATTTAACAAGTATGAATTTTGAAAATACTCATTTTCTCAATTAAAAAAATGTTGTTTGATTACCATTTTTCAAAAATATAGGGAAAAAATCGGGGAGGAAAAAAAGGGGTCTGTCCGGTTCAATATTATCAAAAAATGAAAGGATTTGGCATTAAAATTAAGTGGATTTGTTTTTCTTTTAAATCAAAAATAAAGTCGGACAATATTAAAAATAATGAAGGCATTGCAGCATAATTATTATAGGCTACAATTGAGAAAAAATGACATTAAAAACAAAGGGAATTTTAAAATTAAAAAAAATATATAGAGAGTTAAACTTTAAACAAAATTCCCCATAAAATTATAATTATGCAACCAAACCTTTATGGAGGGTACCTGATATGACAACATTTTCTGATTTTGCAATAAGTCCGCAAAAATATATAAAAGAAAAATTAAGTGAATTTATCAAAAATTTTCTGTTGCTTCAAAAGTTTCTTTTTAGCGTGTTTGAGGTCCTTTAAATAATTTTTAACCACTGGCTCCATAATATCACGCTCAGAAATTGAAATTTCGCTATTTTCTTTCTCGTTATCTTAAATTAAATTTTAATAGAGAATTTTTAAAAAAAAAATATTAAAAAGTGAAATGGAAAAATTGACCCAAATTAAGTAAATGGAACAGAAATTTTTGCAGATAATTTCAACGCATCCTTTAACTAAAAGGGGATGTTTATGACTAGGGTTGGGGGCCCGGCTCGGTTCGAGCCTCAAAAAAATCGAACCAGGCCTCAAATTTTGACCCGAAAATGACTCGAACGGCCCGGTTCGATAAAAATAGAGCCCGAAAAAATAACTCAAACGTCGGCCCGATTCGAAAACCCCAACCCTATTTATAACGAGATGACAACATTTTTTTGTTTTTGGAATAAGGAAGCCCGCAAAAATTATCCGCAAAAACATCTAACAATTGAAAACTACATAAAAGTCAAAAACTTAATTTTCATAAATTAAATTCAAAAATGTGTCTAATGCCTAGATCAAGATCCGATAAATCCATTAAAAACCCCAACTTAAATAAAATCCACAACTTACCATTCAAAACCAAACCAAGAATTTCATCACGCTTCAAATTATATTCATTTAATTGCTGATCGACTTGAATTTTTAATTTAGCTAATTCATTTTCAACTGCAGCCAGAGACTCTTTCTCCAATTTAAGAACATTTTCGAGCTCTAAAAATTTCAAAAATAAACCAAAACATTAAGAAGTAACTAATAAAAACTTGAATCTTTCCTAAAATAAATAAAGGTGAACCTCAAAATTGAAAATGAGAAGCTTGAGTATATAAGCAAAGAACCCAAAATAACCATATACCGAATTTTCTCTAATTGAGCGGCCGTCTCCAGTTGAACGGCCATATCCATTAGTGCGGCCTATTGAGAGGGGATTGAAAAATAGAGCGGTCGGCCACCCTATTAGAGAAAATATTATAATCGTTTGAAGGTGGCAAAAATAAAAAATTAGAGTATTTAAAAAACATTTAATACCCTAGTTATTCGAATTTATATCTGCCAACCCTACCTTATTGCTTGTCATTTGATAGTCTATTAATAGCTGAAATCCTATCTACTAAACTTTTCCATAAACAAAAAATAATAAAAATAACCTTGGTAAGAAGCCGATTTTTTAATTTTTTGATCGAGAACATTTTCAGATTTAAAAACATTTTCCCACAAAGAAAATAAACGTGAATTAGACAACTTTAAATCAAAAAAAAATAATTAAATTAACAAAAAAACCTCAGCTTCACGTTCATCAACAACCTTCAAAATTGAATTAAAAGTCTCAAAATATTGGACATCATTCTCAAAAACATTTGAACTATCGTTGAAACTTGTATCCATTTTTAATAAAATATACAATTGTTTAACTGGAAAAAAAAGATTAGTAGAAATTTAAACACAAGCCAATTTTTTTTGAAATTTTTTAATTTTAACCAAAGGGACGCGGACACTGTGGCGCGGCTCCTGTGGCGTGGTCCCTATGGCGCGATGGCCCTGCGCCATAGTGGGCTTGTGCGATAGTGATTTACTCCTCAAAGTAGATGCGCCAAGATGTCATCCAATCAAAGTTAAGAAACGTAAGGGGGTGAATGCAGCAAAAAATGATTTTTGCAGAAATGCCTTTTGCGGACATATAGGCCTCGAGCTGGACATTTACCTGTTCTCCAATAGATGCAATTACTTTTTGAATTTTTTGGGTAGTTGAAGTTGAAGATCAGAAACGTTGAATTGAATTCAGGAATGAAAACTCTAGGGTCGTGACAATTTTAAATATTTTCCCTTTCTGACCATTTTGTCCGTCTGTGCAGAGTAGAGATCTCGTTATTCTTCAGCGCTTGGGCATTTTTTCGCTTTATAAGAGAAAACTAAAGAGAACCCATTAAAGCAGAGAAATGAAAATGTTTAAGAGAGTGTATAAATATTTAATGTTCTTACGCTCTCTTCTCCAAAATTTCTTTTATTTTATGCAGCGTCTAAAATTTATCAATGTTTTTTGTTTGTTTATTTTGCTTTTGCTGCAGTCGTCGGTTTAATTACCCAAGTTTGAGGTACTAATTGTATCCTGCCCTTCTGAAAGTGGCAGCTTGGAAAAATTTTGGAATTGCTTTGCCTTTTGGCGAGGTTTAAAAAGTTTTGGGGAAAGTGTTGAGTTATGACTTGTTAGAAAAGCGTGCATCATTTTTACAAAAGGCAATCCCGGGGAATTCGGGTCACTCGGGAAAAAATCTTAAAAATAAGAAAAAGGATTTTTCTTGGGTAAAAAATATACTGATTACGAATCTAAGCTCAGATTCCTAGATTCTTCACACCAAAATCAAAATAATTGACATAGGGCAACACACATGGGGCATTTCCACACCTGAAGCTCGTCGAGACGAGTCGAATGGTATGTGTTTTGTATCGAAATTTTGCCGTCGGTATACTGTACTATCCACATTGAACCCTGAATCAGAACTAGAAGGTTTCGATAAGCTGATTATACTTTCTACTATTATGCATGCATCCCTTCTATTGAAAGTAGGAATAAAGAAGATAATGTAAGGCTGGGTTCATCCTGAAATCACGTGAACGATAATGTCGCTATAAACTTTGTGCTAAGTAGCGGAAGTTCCCAGAGAAAAGGAAAGAATATTACAAACGGCCATTCCCAGAGAGTTATTAGCCGCCCATTATCTAAGCTTAACATCGCCACTAACTTATCCTTGGGAAAGCGATTAGTAAATAGGCGATTAGTAAATTAACATCGCCACTAACTTATCCTTGGGAAAGCGATTAGTAAATAGGCTGGTGCTTATAAGCTCTAATGGAATAGGCAAAGGCAGATCACTTCTTCATTCATTCAACAGAGTTGCCGGCCGGCTTATCCATCGTGTAAAGGGAGAGACGTCTCCCTATATTCCCCCACTGCGTGCGATTAACTTATTTCTATACTCTGCGGAGTTCACACATGATTGCAACATGCGCGACTCTGCTAATAACATCAGCAATACAACAAGGCACTGGGGAACGGGACCAACCGCTTTACTATAAGAATTGTAAAGCATATACCTATTAATTTCCTAAGTGTGTGCAGTAGGCGGCGTGGTGTAATGGCTAACACATCAGTCCGGTCTACTGAAGATGCTGGTTCGCTCCCAGCCGCCGAATAACCTTTTGCACTAGCTAAAGGAGAGAAATAGCTATAGCTCAGCTGCTTTACTGAATTAGAGATCGGTATTTTTGAAAAGCTTGGGCCTGTTCCTGGGATCTGGGTTTGATATTAACCTGGGCCGGATCCTGAGCCTGTAATTCAGGAACCAAGGAAAGTCAAAAATGCCTGTACCTGGACCCTGGGTACAGGAAAAACCCAGGCCTTGGTCCAGACCCAGGTCGATCTCTAATAAGAATGTGGGCCGATAATGTGATGGCACCAAATATTATCTAAATAATTTAAGTACTTATTTGGTAGAATATTAATTTAAATAAACACTTTTGTTTTCATATTTTATCACGTCAACTATTTAGGTAAGAATTAAACAAACATTCTAAAGCTTCTTTGTCATTTGATAATTAGAATATAAAATTTTATTTTCTTGTCATTTTTATGTCAAAACACTACGTGGATTTTAAAAATAATTTTTATTTTCACTGACCTGTGGTATTAAAAAATTAAAAAAAAATAAAATTTTCATTAAAAAAGAAGGAAATTAAATTTAATTTTCATCATAATTTCTTTATTCTAAGCGAAAATGTTGTGTAACAGTGTCAAAGACTACTTTTTCAAAATATTTGTTAAATATTTTCGAATGATGTTTTTATGGATATTTTTGAATATTTAAGCAAAGATTGTTTAGTTGTTAACAAAATCATTTTGATTTGAAAATAAAATTTCTTTAAAAAATATGAAGCTTATTTTGGTTTTGCTATGCTTGTTAGCTTTAATAACCGTTGTAGGGAGTACGGTCAGATTTTATTTTTTATTTAAATGCCGTAAATGTTCTAATAAAGCACAAGCCTTATTAAAAGCCCACTCAATGAGACCCCTTTAAAAATAAACGCCCAGGACTTCTATTTACGTTATTTAATAAGAGAGAAATGAAAATCTTCTATTATTAGAAAAATTTCTATTATTAGGCGGCATATAAATAGGATCATGGGAGTATACTAATGGTAGAACTTCCAAGACAGAAAATTTTCAAAGACTCAGGACTTACCCCGAGACCGAAAACCCCAAGAAAGGTCTTGAGTCAAGACTAAAGAACTCAAATTCTTGAACAACTCTAATTTTTTGCCTAGCAAGGTTCGTTGCCTAGGTTAGAGATCAACTTAGAATATCTTGTTCGACATACAATATCTAAGCGAGGACCCTTGGCTTTAATTAAAATTTGCATTAATTAATAAGATTATTTAGATTAGCTGTGATTATAACGGCACGTGTACGGGAGATGGACAACCGGATTATAAAACAGTTTGTAAAGGATGTCATAGTTGTACCTACAAGGACTGTTGTAACTACTTATATCAAATGTTTCCGTGGTTTTGCTGTACGATACCTGGCTGGCGCTCTGACAAATATAACAAAGGCAATTGTAAAGGTGTATGAATAAAAGCGATTGAAAAATAAATAAATAATGAGAGAAAATTAAAATAAATTGAAAATTGTAAATAAATACTAAATATGTACATATACTTCTGCAAAAAACATTTAATCTTTGTATTATGTGAAATGATTTTGTCATGATAAATATGGGAGCAGATCAAGTACCTCACAAGGTAACGCAGAGCTATAACTCGTTTCGAATTGGCGAATCTGGGTCGAACTGGTATGGTTCGATTCAGCTCATCGAGCAGCATAGAAGCATTAGGCCGTCCCAGATTCGACAATTCGGAAAGAAGCTATAACTCTGTGGTACGTTGGGGTGTACCATCTGAAATAGAATTATCTAAAATAAAATTCTAGAATTTGAGTTTTCGTGGTTTAGCTGTATAGAAGTAATTATGGGTGTAGTTCCTAAATAATTCCCGCTGTGAGGGGAACCACCTACTTTGAGATAATGGCTATTTTTCTGATCGTTGTCTAAAAGGAGGACTATTTTAGGAAAGTGACGAGTTTAGGAACTTTAAATCATCAAAAAAACACTCACCTTAAAAATAACGAAAATATTTATTTAAAGGCTTATGTATACTCTTTGAGAACGGATAAACAGACTTTGCAAATCTCCACCCTAAAAAATGAACATTTATCTTACTTTTTCTTACTCTTGTATTTACTTAACATTTTCAAAAAAGTGGAGACATTTTTAACAAAGATTTTTTCAAATTAAAAAATACACTCAACTCTTCTAATTAAATAAAAAAAATAGAGAAAATATCATCAAATATTCACCTTGAAAATAAAAAAAATATTTATTTAAAGGCTTATTTATTGCTAGCTTAATCGCAACTTCTGCAAAAATTATTTTTTATTAAAATTTTTAGTAAAATGTGTTTTTGCTTTGTTTTTATTACAAGTTTATATTAATCTATTAAATGTCAGATAAAAATGTTTAAATTATATTCTGGTTTTAATGTCGAAAAGAAATTCTGATTTTAATGTTTTTAAAAAATTCTGATTTATAACTTCTGATTTTAAAACATTCTCGTTTTGTTTTAATTAAATTCTGATTCTGATTTAGATGTTGTGATTAAATTCTGATTTTGTCAATTATTAATAGGTAACTCATAATTCTGATTTTTCAAAATGTTGTAAATTAATTCTGATTACAAAAAACATAACCAAACAATTCACCTACAAATTCGTGATTTTTAAGGTAAAAAATTTTTATTTCCTCCACCTATTTATACAAATAAACACACAAATAATTGATTTAAATTTACAAATAATTCGTAAATAACATTTTTTCTAATACAATTTTATTATCGTCATAAAGATTTCCCTTTTAATGTTTTTTTAAATTATTTTGTTTTCGTGGGTTGGGGAGATCTCTAATACATTAATATAGCCAAAATAATATAATAAATTTTATAAATATTTTTAATAATGTCAATTACTTAATCTAACAATTTCAGAATTTTTAGTTAATTATTTTCGGAAATTATGGTTAAAAAAGTATATAAATTTTAACGAAAATGTCAATGTTTAGGTTATTGCAATTTATAGTTTTAGAAATATTTAATAAAAATTTTTGAAAATTTTTAAACAAATTAACTAACACACAAAAAGATAACACAGTTTCATAAAGCCAAGTTTTACTATCTTTTCCCTCATGACCGTATATACATAAATAGTTAATAAATTTTTTTTGTAAATTGAAAAATCTGAATTAAATTTAATCTTTTTTTTATAAACATGTACATACATTTTATATACCTATTTCGTTTTCCTGACCCGCATCGATCAGTATTTATTTTTATAAAATTTTATAATCCCTTTGTCTATATTTGTATATTTTTAAAAAATATTTAAATCGTTTAAGGCTAAAATAACGTTTTAATAAAAAAATTTATTCAAAAATTATTTTATTTTTTAAATTTTTTAAAATTTACATTAATTTTCCATTATTTTAAAATTATTGCAGAAAAAACCAAATAAGAAAGCTTGCGCAATCACGCTAAATTTGCTAAACTCTTACATTTTTAAATGCTCCTTTATTTTTTCAAGTTTAGATCCTAATTTCTCCAAAAGAATTTTTTGATTTTTTTTAATTAAAAAATATTTCCTATCAGAAATAATTAATTTTAAAATGGATTTAACTACAAGAATTAAAATTGGAGAAAATAAAGAAAATGAGGAAACATTAAATAATAATACACAACAAATAAATAAACCAAATTTAAAAGAGAAAAATAATAAAAATAATTTAATTTTTAATAAAAAGCCTTTTCACCTTCTTAATTTTGTACAAACAACATTAAATAAATTAATTACCGAAAATTCTGAAAGTTTAAAAGAATTTGGAAAAATTGTTTTAATTATTTTTTGGCATTCTTTTTTGGGTATTTTTCTTTAAATATTTTAAAATTATTCTTGAAAAAATATTTTTTCGAAGGAAAAATATTCAAAATTAACAGAAAAACAGGAAAAATATTAACTAGAAAATATATTTTTCCGGAAAATATAAAACCTTCCGGAAAGTATACATGCTATCAAAAGTTTTTTTAAAATACTTTCCGGAATTATTTTTAATTATATTTCTGGTGAAAGTTGAATATAAACTTTTCCGGAAACAACTTTCTCAGAATAAAAAACTTTATTAAAATTCAAGTTTCCGGAACATATTACCATTTCCGGAATATACACTCTCATAATATTCATCTTCTCCGGAAAATATAGAACTTTCCGGAAAATAGAATAGACATTTTATGTTTTATCTGAATATCTATTTAAATTTTTCCGGAAACCTTTTATGGATCTAAACTAAATATTGTATTCACAACAAATTTATTTATTTAAAAAATCAGTTCTTGCTGTTCTCAATTCTTTTCAACGAGTTTTTGGGCTTTTAATATTAACAGCAATTTGTTGGTTTTTTTGGATTAAATCTAAATTTCTTTCACAACCTTTAAATAAATTATTTCAATTTTTACATTCAAAACTTGACAATATTTTTAGACAATCCAACAGCCAAATGTTTGTTTAAAATAAAATATTTTATTTTAAAAATTTTTGAATTACAACCAGACTCAATTTTAGATACACCCTTTAGGGTGAGAAATTGTATCTTATTTTGGGGTGTATTTTTAATTTTACGCATAAGTTATTAGGCAGCAGGGAAGACGGAAGCGTAAGATTTCGGCAAAAGACGGAAGGCGGAAGAAAATCCATCCCTGTTAGGCAGCTTTTCTTCAGCCAATAGTCAACAAATTGTTAAAAATTTATTTTAAATTGAGTAATATCTAGTCTCTGGATATCCTCACGTTTTTTAGGTTTTTGATATCCGAATCTGAGAAACCTAGTTTTGGGGGTGAGCTTAGCTATTCTTTAGGAATAAATATTTTCTTTTTAGTTTTTTATATATTCTTATATTTTGTGCAATTGCCGTTTTCTTGGCTTTTGATACCTACAGGTCCTCTCAATTAAAATTTTTTTTTAAAAATCTCTTTATAATTAAAGATCAAAACAACGTCTTTTGGGTCTCTTCGGAATTATTTTTTATATTTTATTAATGGTATTATTCTCCCATAATGCTTCCAAAGTTTTACAATTTTTATCAAATTATTATTTAAAAAACCCTCCCCCACAGATTGTTTGGCATCCAGTAATTTTTGGATTCTTTTTACAATTTGCACTGGGTCTTTGTATTTTACGTTGGGAATGGGGATCTACTATGTTTAATAAATTTGCGGTTTCTGAAATTTTTTTTAAATTTTTAAAATTATTTTCGAAAGGATTCTGTTCTCGTTTTCCTCGAATTTACACATAATGGGACAGATTTTGTTTATGGATTTGTTTCTTCCCCTCCAAATATTTGTGGAATGGAGCCTATTTTTGCTTTTAGGGGTATTCAAGTTGTTGTTTATTTTGGGTCCGTTGTGGTAAAATGATAAAAATTTTTTCTTCCTTTATTCTCCTTTAATAGGCATTACTGTATCATTTTGGCATTTTACAATTTGTTATTAAAAAGATGGCATGGTAAATTGAAAATTCTTTAAAATTTATTTTTAGTTAAAAAATGCAAGAAAATCAAATAAATTTATAAAAAATAAAAACGCCAATACCCATTGCGCACAGCCATAATCAGAATAAATTTCAGACATTTTAATGTTTAAAAACAACTTTTTCGTTAACCTATTAATTAATTGAAAAACATTTCTGAAAAATTTTAAAAAATTTTTTAATAGTAAACTTGAATCAGAATGTTGAATTTTCTAATTCAGAATTTTCTGATTTAAATTCAGAATTTTAACTTTTCTAATTCAGAATTTTAAACGAACTAGGAATTTTTTAATCAGAATTTTAATTAAACTTGGATTCAGAATTTTTAATTCACAAACTTTTAAACACATATAATTTCTGATTTACTAACTGGAATTTTTAAATAATTAAAAAAGACAATTTTCTAAGTTCCTTCCTTAATTTATCAAAAAATAAAGGTTCGTCCAATTAACATTAAAAACAACGGCCACGGAATCATTAAATGCTTGTGCCTGTGTTTTCTTTGGGATGAGTGAAGCTCCCCTTTTAATTCGGCCTTATTTAGAAAAAATGACTGCTTCTGGTTTTTTAAAAATTATTTTATGTTTATGATATTCCTCTATTTTTTTCGAATTACACGCCGTTATGACAACAGGATTTTCTTGTATTGCTGGAGCTGTTTTTGCAACTTATATTAGGTAAAACTCGAAATCAGAATTTTCGAAAAATAAATTGAATCAGAATTAAAAATAAATACACTTAAAGAATAAACTTGACTTGAAAAATAGACTTAAATCACAATTAAAAAATATAAATAAGAATTTCTGAGAATATAAATAAACTTGAATTATTATTCAACAAATAAACTTTAAATCAGAATTTTTAGAAAATAATTTAAATCAGAACCAAAAATAAACATGAAATCCGAATTATTAAGGATAAACATAAAATCAGAATTAAAAATAAAATCAGAATTTTTTAATAAAATTCAAGTTTTGGTGCCTGCCCTCGTTATTTACTATCAGCTACAGTAATGTCTGCTCCTGGATCTCTAGCCTGTTCTAAAGTTTATTCTCTCGAATTTTAATAAATATTTTATCAAAAGATACTCTATCCTGAAACAGAACAAAGCCAATTAGTTAATGTTGAAGATTTGGAATTACCCAAAGGAGAAGAGACAAATATGTTGGAAAGTGTAAGCAATGGGGCAGTTATGGCAGTACAACTTGTTGTTGCAATTATAGCGAATTTAATTGTTTTTCTAGCATTGCTTGCTTTATTAAATTCTGTTTTGGGGTGGATGGGAGAATTAGTTGGACAACAAGGGTGGAGTTTTGAAGCAAGTTTTTATAATAATGTTTTAATGTTTTTATAAAAATCAGAATTTTAAATGAACATTTAAATGCGAACATAAATCAGAATTTTAATAAAACTTGAAATAATAACAGTTAGAATTTAAATCAGAATTTTAAATTCTGAAATGTCAAAACTTGAAAATAAACTTAAAACCAGAATTTGAAATGAACTTAAAAAATCAGAATTTATTAAATCAGAATTTTAATTAAACATCTAAAAATCAGAACAATTATTTCCAAGTTTATTTTCTGATTTTTTCAGCTTTTTCTTGGCTATTTATTTTTCCCTCTTGCTTTTGTTATGGGTGTTACAAATCCAGGAGAAACATTTATTGTGGCACAATTAATGGGTACAAAGACTGCGTTAAATGAATTTGTGGCCTATAAACAACTTGGCCAACTTGTAAAACAAGACAAACTTTCGGTACGAAAATGCTTTTTTGGGTGAAATTCTGAAATTGTTAAAGCCTGAAAATTAACTTTAAAATCAGAATTAAAGATGACAATATCAGAATTTTAAATGAACTTTGGAAAATCAGAATTAGAAACAAACAAAATCAGAATTAAATATAAACAAAATTGGAATCAGAATTTAAACAAAATTTAAGAGAAAAACAGAGGCAACATTAATTAATTGGTTAATCAATCTTTAAATCAGAATTGAAAATAAACATTAAAATCAGAATCAAATTAATTTTTAATTTCTGACCTAACATTCACTCAAATTTATTCATTTTTAAGCCTCGTTCTGCAATGATAGCTACCTATGCGTTATGCGGCTTTTCAAACTTTACATCCATCGGAATCCAACTTGGGACACTTGGGGGAATGGTCCCCTCCAGAAAAAGACTTTTATCCCAATTAGCATTACGCTCCCTTTTGGCAGGCTGTATTTCTTGTTTTTTGACTGCTTCTTTGGCCGGTGATTTTTTTAAAGGATTTTCGAAAAAATTTTCCTTTCCTATAGGTGTATTAATCGACCAACCCATTTTATGTCGTCCTCAGAATGAAAAGGAACATTGTTTTGATGTAAATAAATTTATTTAATTTTTTTATTCAAATATTTTTTTCTCCCTCAATAATTAAAATTTCTCTTATCAACGCTCCTTAACACACTTTCCTCCCCTACGTTTCAACGCGGCCCGAGAGGGTGTTGTTATTGAGAGGTAATTAATTAATATTTCTTTTGCTTTAATTTTTATTCAATAAATTAATTTAATAATAAATTTACAAATTAATAAAATTATAATAAATAAACTTATTATTAATTCTTTATTTAAAATAAAGACACTTTTTTTAGAATCTTATTAACCCTTTATTATTAAAATCCAAATAAAAATCAAATTTTTAAAAAAAAATACTTGACTAAACAAATTTTAATGTTCCCGAAGTTTGTTCATTTTTTTAAAAATAAATTGCTACCATGTGTTATATGTCCAACAGTTTAATATTAAATTTTTTAAAAATTTATTCCATTATTATTTAATTTTTATTTTAATTAATTCTCTTCAGTAAATGGCCCGTCGTGTGATAAAAATCGATTAAAAATAAAGAACAAATAAAATATTTGCTGATTACACCTTGCATTCAGCCAATAAATTATTTGTCCAAATAAATTATTATACTTAAAGTATCTAGATAAGAATAAAAAAATAAATATTAAATAAATAATTATTATTTTTATTAATTTAAATGGGTATTATAAACGGAGAATATACTAAAGATTCACCAGATATTGAGGTATTTTAATAAAGTCTTTTATTAATAAGTAAAAAATTTTTTACCAGTCTCTCCTAGAGCTAAATCCTCGAGTTCAATTAAATGCAACTTTAAAGCCAAGTTGTGAAACTAAATTGGAAAAGCATAGATGGAAAAGAAATGCTAATAAATCGTGTAATGTAAGGGAATTATTTAAAACATTTAATCTCCTAAGGGTGGTATTTGAAGAACGAGTTAATGGGTAACGAGTAGTGTTTCGCTGGAACCGCAAATTTGGGCGGAACCGGAACTGAAATTTTGACCGAATAAGGAACCGGAACTTTACAAACAAGCCGGAACCGTTACCAAAAAATCCCGGAACTTCCGGCCTACCTGAACTGGAACTTCAGGAGAAACACTAGTAACGAGGTAACACAAAACTTCTCTCAGAACTTGAACGATTTGGCAGAAGCAAAGAACATGGTAACCCTACCGTGTTCACGGAAAACGACCTCTGAATCGTCCAAAATTTGCTTAATTATTATTTAGGGTTGTGCAGAAAACCTCTATGAAAATGACTTTCGAGATATCAAACACACGACATTATCGGAGAGGGGAGCTTTGAGAGAAGCTATGAGATGTTAGCTTAATTGGGGGGTTGGGAAATAAATATAAATAATTTAAAAGGTCTGAAATGTGCAGATGCCCCTTGCCAAAAAAGCTGTCCCACACAGTTGGATATCAAAGCTTTTATTTCCAGTATTGCTAATAAGGTAGGGAGGGGGATATATGGATGACAGTCAATCCAAAAATGATATTTGGTTAAATTAAACTGAATATGTGCCAACCCAGCGTTTGTACCTTTAATGTGCACCTAAAGGTTCCCAATATTGTATATGATCGAAAATTACCCTCTCACAAATGCCCTACTTACGTTAAAATTTCAAAATTTGGATATTTGCCCCCACTCAATGGGGGCAATATATAAGCTTTATCGATTGGCTCGAACAATAATTACCCTGGGTAATGATTTTACCATATATAGTAGTCCAGTACTCTTATAAGCAAGGTTCTGATCAACTATGTATGGTGAACTATGGTAACTCCCACGAAGCCGAATATTTTTTCAATAAAATGTAGTCTTAAAATTTTCCCTAATTTTTATAGAATTATTATGGTGCTGCAAAATTAATATTTTCTGATAATCCTCTTGGGTAGGATATTTAATAATAAATAAATTATTTTACCAAAAAACACCTAATTAGCTTAACTTGTGGAATGGTATGTCCAACCTCAGACCTCTGTGTCGGCTCTTGTAATTTATACGCAACAGAAGAAGGGCCCATCAATATTGGGGGTCTACAACAATTTGCAACGGAAGTATAAAAATCTTCTAGAAAATAATTTTAAATTTTAAAAATCAGATTTTTATGAAAATGAATATACGGCAAATTGTTAGCCCTGAAATAATTAAAAATCGAAATGAGGCACATAAGCAGCCTATTGCTTTCCTTGGCAGTGGTCCGGCAAGTATATCTTGTGCAAGCTTTTTAGCCAGACTTGGCTATACAAATTTAACAATTTATGAAAAGGAGGAATATTTAGGGGGACTAAGGTGGGTTTTGGTAGAGTTCGACATTAGACCGAGATTGTTTTCCGTGCCCAGTAGCCCGAAAACTGGGTATAGTTAGATACTAAATTTCTCCTAATTCAGAGTATTTTTTTCGAGGGGTTAGCCCGGAAACCCGAGCCAGTCTATATCGAGCCCGGCAACTTGAAAATGTCGAACTCTCGTTTTATAAGAAACTAGTTTTAAAAATTAATTAATTTTTAGTTCTTCCGAAATCCCTCATTATCGTTTGCCTTATAACGTGGTTGACTTTGAAATTCAATTAGCTAAGGATCTCGGGATTAAAGTTTGGCAACATTCTTCATATACATACCTTCTTTATTATTAAAGATAGTCACAGGTCGTCAACTTCACAGGAATGACTTGACCTTGGAAAAATTGAAAGCCTCTGGTTGCAAAGCTGTCTTTATTGGGATTGGATTGCCTGAACCTAAAAGAGCCCCCATCTTTCAAGGGTTGGAACCCAAAAATGGATTTTATACCTCCAAAGAATTCTTACCTCTTGTGTCTATTGCTAGCAAAAAAGGCTAGTTTTTGACATTAATTGTTAAAATTTTAAATAAAATTCAAAAATGAAGGAATACTTAATAATTCGTGTAGCAATTGTTCTTGTTCCTCCAAAACCCCTAAATTGCCTAAATTAAATGGACGAGTATTGGTATTGGGAGCGGGGGATACTGCTTTTGATTGTGCTACATCTTCATTACGATGTGGGGCCAAGAAAGTGACTGTAGTCTTTCGGAGGGTGAGTGAGATCTATTGAAAATACAGAGCTAAAATTTGCTATGGCTAGGGTTGATGATGGGGGGAGGACCAAGGGGAAAATATTTGGAGAGGCAACGCCACGGAGGGGGGCGGCGAATTTTAAAAGTCTCGAATTCCCCTTTCGGGTAGGGAACGGAGTAAAACTTTACCTATCACACGCTATCTACCTGGGATGTTTCCCCGAAACCCGGCATAAGAATTATATTAGAGATTATAAAATATTTTATTTAATTTCAAGGGATTTACTGCAATACGCGCTGTTCCAGAAGAGGTATTTAATTTATTGTATACATTCATATTAATGAGAGAATGTTCCTTTCGGATGAGTTCCCCTCCGTATGAAACATTGTCAACAAAATGGCATTGTCTTTGTTATATTTTTCCATACAAATTTCTTATAAAATTAAAGATGGAAGCGGCACGTGAAGAAAAATGTGAATTTATGCCTTTCATGTCACCAAGGAAGGTGAACATGAGAGACGGACGGATTGTTTCTGTGTAGGTTGAAAGGCCAGAATTAATTTTTAAGTAAATTAAATTAAGTGAATTTGCCAAAATGGAACAAGAATTGAATGGTCAATGGGTAGAGGATGTTGGTCAAACCCTTACTTTGCGGGCTGATTGGGTTATTAGTGCCTTTGGATCGGATTTAGTCGATCCTGAAGGTTCTTGCCTGATTTAGAATAAATAAAAATTTATTTATTTAAGTAAAGGAAGCACTAAAACCTTTGAAATTTGACAATAATGGAATTCCTATTGTTAATACTAAAACTCAACAAAGTTCAGAAAATTGGGTATTTTTGGGAGGGGATGTAGCTGGAGTTGCTGAAACTACTGTGGTTTAGATGGAAATTTTCTCAAAATTCCCTTAAAAATTCCACTTTAATTAAAGGAATCTGTTAATGATGGAAAAACAGCCGCATGGCATATCCACCGTTATATCCAATCATTATATGGCTTTCCAATATCGGAAAAACCAGAATTACCCCTTTTCTGTACTCCTATTGATGAGGCAATTTATTTTTGAATAAAATTATAGAAGAAATAATTTTTCCCGATTAGATTGATTTATCGGTAGAAATGTGTGGTATTCGGTTTGAACATCCTTTTGGCCTTGCTTCTGCTCCCCCAACTACAACTGGTGCAATGTGTAGACGGGCTTTTGAACAGGGATGGTCTTTTGTGTTAACAAAGACTTTTGGATTGGATAAGGTAGAGAAAACAATAATAAATTTTATAAAATGTGAGGGATATCAGGGGTGTTTGCCAGTCTTGTAGACCTCGTGATTACCCGCACTTGGAGGTAGACCCCTCATTTTTATGATTTTAGTTGGACTGTGGAGTTAGAAAGCTATAACTCTACATAGCATGAATTCCTAATAATTTTTTCTTGATTAGCTATAAAGAAAAGGGTAACTCTAAAAGTTAAAGCTTTATGTGATTGATTAAACGTTGTAAGGGCTATTAACCGAAATCTGAGGATTTAGAGCTGTAATGAACTCTATAGGCAATAAAAAATCAAAAAATAACATCCAAATAAAACCTAAATAAATTCCACACAGGATTTAGTGACAAACGTTTCACCAAGAATAGTACGTGGAACAACTAGTGGGCCAATTTATGGCCCAGGACAAGGCTCTTTTCTTAATATTGAACTGATTTCTGAGAAAACTGCTGAGGTATTAAAATATAGAATTTCTTGTATTAATTCCTATTTATAAAAGTATTGGCTAGAATGCATTAAAGAATTAAAAAAAGATTTCCCAACAAAAATAGTAATTGCTTCGATTATGGCTAGCTTTGACAAAGTCTGTTTAAAAAGGAAAATTTTTGGAAGCTTCAAACATTTTAAAGGATGACTGGACAGAGCTAGCTGTTCGTTCTGAAGCTGCAGGTGCAGATGCACTTGAATTAAACCTTTCTTGTCCTCATGGAATGGGTGAAAGGGGAATGGGGTTGGCTTGTGGGCAGGACACTGAAATGGTTAAACAAATTTCCCAGTGGGTGAGGAGTGCTGTTAAGGTACATAATTTGTTCCAATAATCCTGCTAAATATCCAAAAAAGATTCCATTCTTCCCTAAAATGACTCCGAATATTACTGATATTCGAAAAATTGCTATAGCAGCTAAAGAAGGAGGGGCGGATGGAGTGACAGCAACAAATACAGTTTCAGGGCTTATGGGATTGCGTTCAGATTCTAGTGCTTGGCCAAGTGTTGGAAGGAATAAATTGTAATATTTTATGTAGAAGGGGCTATTTACTTACAGGCCCGTTACATAAGAACATGATTGGTGGGTAAATAACCACTATCTGGCGCTTCTGTTGGTACTATAAGAAGGTACCTAGTAGTCTTCTTATGGTATTGGCTCAAGGGTAGGGTTTCGGTTCCAAAACCGAACCGAAAATTTTGGATATCCTAAACCGAACTGAAGAGAAAAAAGATTCGGTCCAGAACCGACAGCCTGCTCGTGGGATTAAATTAGAATTTTTAGGGTGGAGAGTAGGGGGAGGGGATGGATGGATGATCTAAAAAAATAAAATAATTTTTAAATAGAACAACTTATGGAGGTGTTTCCGGTAACGCTATTAGACCAATAGCTTTACGGGCAGTCTCAGCCATTGCTAACGAACTTCCAGGCTTTCCAATATTGGCGGCCGGTGGAATTGATAGCGCAGAATCTGGATTACAATTTTTAAATGCTGGGGCTTCAGTTTTGCAAGTCAGAACTTTCAAAAAAAATTTTTTAGAGTCGAAGAAGTTTAGGAAAGTATAAATTTTAATAAAGGTCTGTTCAGCAGTTCAAAACCAAGATTTTACTTTAGTCCAAGATTATTGCAGTGGATTACGGACACTTCTCTACCTTCAGGGAATTTCTGCTTTGGCTGATTGGGACGGGCAAAGTCCCCCTGAAGAAAAACATCAAAAAGGCAAACCTTTGTTGCTTAAGAATGCGGTGAGGAATTAAAGAAGAAAATTAAAAAAAATAAAAATTTTTAGCATCTCCCAGCATTGGGCAACTTCCGTGAAAAACGTTATAAATTAGAGAAGGATTTGCTTGTAAAAAAGAATGGGGATTTTGTTGAAAATGATGAAGTTTACGTTACTAAGCGTCCTGATAATCAACCTAAGAAGGTTCCGAAGATTAAGGTAACATTATAGAAAATTCCTTAAAATTAATTTTCTAAAAGGACATGATAGGCGCAGCTCTAGACAAAGTTGGGGCTTATAACGATTTGGATAATTCCCAACAAGTTGTAGCCGTAATTGACGATGATTTGTGTATAAACTGTGGAAAATGGTCTCAAAAATATTTTTAAATTTAAAAAGAACTTCAAAAAATTAAGTTATATGACTTGTAATGATTCTGGATATCAGGCTATAACCTTTGACAGAGATTCCCATTTGGCCCATGTTAATGAAGAAAATTGTACTGGCTGTACTCTTTGCCACAGTGTTTGCCCTATACCGGGTAATTTTATTAAAAAAGAAAATTTTTTGGAGCATAATCCTCCCATTTCCTTCTAAAAATCACAAATAGTTCAAGTATGTGATTTTAATTGCTCAAATATAAAAAATAAGCGATTGCCATCATTATATCGAGAGCTGACTTTCTACGATTTTACTAAATAAATTATCTTCCTTTCTCTCAAAAGTTTAGCTCCGGGGAGGCATCCAGTGATCCTCCAAATTACTGGATTTCCTTTCTTCCCTACAATATTAATTTAATCTCAGGCCATTGGCATTGACCATTGGCAAAAAAAGGAATAAGCAAACAAAAGTAAATTTAAAAAATGGGGGTAGATAATGCGATAAATAGACTATATTCTTCAAATCCAGGCCTTTATTTTCTTTAATTTTCTTCAAACAGACTGTATTAAAATGGTTCCAAAACAAATTCCTCATCGTATCAATCGAGGCATTCCACCTTTACCACTTGGCACAAAAGCTTCAGAAATAAAAATATTAAAAGGAGAACGTGTTTTGCTTAGTACAAATTGAAAAATAAAATTTTTTTATTAATGAATTTCAGAGTATAAAATAATAAACTTGATATTAATAAATTAAAGAATAGTTTTTTATTAAATTTTTTGGCCATCAAAGTTATTTTCTTTTGTAATATTGTAAGGATGATTGACTTAGAGCATTTAAAACGCTTAGGCGGTGGGAGGGGGGTTAAACGATCTTAAAGGATAAAAGAAAGCATTAGTCGATGCCCCGGTAGCTCATTAGTAGAGCTCCTGTATGTCGTGGGCAGAAGCGCCTAGCAATAACCTTAAAATAACTGTCAGGAGGTTGCAGATTCGAATCCTGCCTGTTGGATAAACCTTTGCTAAACTCTTTCTATATTTATTTTTGTATTTTGGATTTAATCTTATGTTCGAAAAAAATAATTTTTATTAATTTCTAAAAATTTTTTTCAAGCTAAAAAAGGAATATATTTTTTTGGAAAAATATACCCAACAAAAAATAAAAAAATTTTTTTCTTATTTTTTACCCATCTGTACATACATAAACGAACTTTCTATTTTTTGCTTTAATTTATCAAATCCCAGAAGATCTACTTTAATTTCATTAAACTCAATAATGCTAAAGATTGTGGGGAAGTACAAGCAAAATTAACGTAAGCTAGTTGATCTCACCTTTCTATGAGAGTTTGTCACACACTCAAGAATTCTCTTAGAAAAATTCTAAAAACCAACTAAATGCCTAAAATATTTAACTAAATTAGTTATGATAAAGCGCCGGACCATCCTAAAAAATAGCAAAAGGACAGACTTGATTCTGCGAGCTTCTAAACATGTACAGAGTTCCTAAACACTCAACCAACACCGAGTAATCGTTTTTATTTTCGATAAAACTTCGCCTTCCTTAAATGGTGATGATAAATTAATTTTTTGATACGCTGGGATAGATTAATTAATTATTTTTAAATAAATCCAAAAAGAAAATTCTTTTTTAAGAGTTTGCCATTTTACCTTCTATAATCATTTTTAGATTCAAAATACAAACTTTATAGCTATATTTAGAGCTTTATTCTTTAATGAAAAATAATTTTTAAAAATCAGATGATTTTATTTTTTATTAAACTTCAAACTACAGGGTGTTTTGAAGTGTTTATTTAACGAGTGTTAATGCTTTGAAGTTTCCATATTATTTTTTTATTAATTAAAAATCCTTCATTAAAAATTTAAAAAATGAAAATAAAATTTTATTTATTTTTATTTGTTGCTTCAACTATTATATCTTTGATGAAGAGCGATGATAATAATGATAATAATGTTGATAATGATGATAATAATAAATCTATAGGTTGGCCTTTCATTTTTGAATAATTTTTTAATATGAATAAATTTGGTGTCTGATTTATGAAAATCGGAAATTTAACTTGGGTTCTACCACGAACATCGAAGGCGGTCATTTCCAGAGAATTCTGTAAAATTGTTTGGGGAAGAAGCGTTAAAAGAGGCGATATAGAAGATAAAGCCCGCCTGGTTTACAACTCAAACTATATTTGAAGATAATCTTATTAACTAACCTGACATAGTAATTGTAATATTCGAGTTTGGTTTTTTAAACCCCGAGGAAAAATTTTAAAAAATGAATTACAAATCGGGACGGACATATCGGGATAGTTTAAAGTACAAAAAGTTAGCCCATTGATTTTGGGATCTACGGCTACTGGGTCTTGAATAGTACATTGCCCTAATGAAGGAAATCATTAGGGCAATGTTTATCTGTTTTAGAACTAATCAGATATGTAGCTCAGCAAGGTAGCTCAGTAACTTTGCAAGAGGATATTTTTCTCCCAGCAATCTCGATATGCCAGCCCGATATGTCCGCCCATCAAAATGAATTTTTCTTCTAGTTCCATTCATTTTCTTATTTTCAGAAAACCTCGAGAACCTTATAAATTTGGTTGATGCCCGTTTAGATGTCGTTGAAAAAATGACAATGTATAAATACCTTGAAGGATTATCAGTTCGATCAACTACAAGCGAATATAACTTTATATATAATGCTTATTTGATTGCTAATACGTCGGATTATATAATTACAAACTTTTTTGAGGCTCAGCTATATGCTAGTCAGATAGCTCAGGCAAAGAACTTTTTTCATTTTCTTACATAGAAAAAGTTTCTTACATTTCTTACATGTCTAAGGCAAAAATTGAAGGTCGTTTTCTTAAGGACACAATGATACAGCAGTTTTTTCTAGAGCTGCAAAAGGTCCATCCATAAAATAGAGAGAGGGGTGTATCTTAAGCCTAATTCCTTGTTAAAAACAGACGTCGTTGTTGACCTTCTGATAATATTAGTAGTCGGATTTTGGAGGATCTTTATTTTTCATAAAAAGAATGGCACTATGGATATAGGAACACTTTAGCCGAATTATGTAGAGGCATATTAGATTAAGTAAGAAAAGGGGAGGGGGGTTGTTCCTGTTACGGCCCCCCAATATCCATGAGAAAGAAGATGGCACTTTCCAGAAAGTGCCGAAACTGATTTTTAAAAAGGGAAAAGACGAAAGGCTAAGGAGAAACTGGCATACCTCTGGTACTAGCCTTAGAAAAGTTATATCACTCTAAGAGCTTTAAAATAATTTTCAGAATGCTTATATGAATATATGGACAACTTATGGTGGCCCTTCGGAAATGATAACTTATGAACAGTATTCAACTGTTTTAGCCCCAGCTTTGGATAAAATAACCAGAGAATTAATCAAAACATTAAAGCTTGTTGCTCCAATTACTTTCACTAAAGAATGCCCAAAATTATTAAAAAAGGCAAAAGCTAATTTGTTAAAAGAAAGAAAAATTGACTCGTTTATGGCACCAGCTAGAGCTGAAGCATTATATGTTGCCTTGGGAACTGTTTGCAATGTCCCGAATAATTTAAAAAAATGAAGGGACGAATTAAATTTAAAAAGAGATGATTTTTTAAATTAAAATTTGGGAATGAAGATGGAATAAAAAATATTAATTTAACATATTACATTCGGACACTATACCTATAAGATAACCCTTAGGCCGTAAAACATATCCTTAAAGAGGGTTGTTTCCAGTAAGAATTTACATGTACTTCCGACCCAGAAATCATTTAATTAGTTAAAAACGCATTTTAAATTGAGGCGTATAATTCCGGCATTCTTATAGCTATGTATGTCCGACTGTATTCATTTTATTAGGGAAGAATATTTTATATTAAAAACATAAACGAATGTTATTAAATTATTTCTAATTAATCCGGAATTAAAGTTTATATTGGGGTTGCTAAATAAATAAAATTTCTTGAGAATTATTATCAATTAAGCTCTAACATTACTTTAGGTCCCTAAAAACATTTCTATTTCTTGTAAGGGAAGAGGAGAGATTTAGGCAAGTAGCTTAACAATTACGATCCAGCGACGGTATTTTAAAATCGAGTTAAGGGTTAACCAACCTCGGCTGCGGAGGAACGCTACTACGCAAAAAGCGAGTAGCGTTTACACCGAGTTCTGGGTTGATTTTTTTTGAAATGAGGGTTAACCTTTAACTCGGTGCTCTACATATTACCCGAGTAAGAGAACCTGGTAAATTTACCAGGTCCTCCTAACTCGCTTCTAGAATACCGCCCAGGAGTTTAAGACTATTATTAAAAGATAAGCTCAGTCGGTAGAACACCTGTATTTAGTATATGTGCCAAATAATAACTTCCAGGAGTTTGAAAGATCGATGCCTGCCCGGGTGTAAACTTTTATTACCTATCTCATGCTTATCGAGACTTCCATAAAATTCTGTTTTTTATTTCATTGGGATCCATGAAGGTAAAAAATAATCTCGTTTTTCAACTATCCTTTCCAACAAAGACCCTTTCTTTGGCCAATCACCAAAATAAATAATTTTTGAATTATTCGTCTTTGTCCGTAACAGATAAGCACTCCACCAACTAAAAGTTCCAGTAGAGATTATTAAATGATTACATTTAGATAACACAGCCATATCAATCTCTCTATAGCCGCTATTTTGGTATTTGATTAATATTCTTCTTTCATTTCCTTCAATTCCTCCAATATTTCTTTTTGCCCAAGACATATTATCAGAAATAACCAAAAATATTATCAAATTATTTTTAATTTTTTTTGTAAAAAATTCCATAGCGTTTTTGTAATATTCAGAGGTAGCCACAGTATGTCCATAACGCTGATTCCTCTGATGCATAGTTAAATCAATCCCGTGTCTAGCATGAATGCCGATAAGAAGGGGAGAATTTGGACTTTGAAAAATTTGGTAAGAGTTTGTTAAGAGACCTTTTTTCATCTCTGCTAGAATGCCCATCTATTTGCTACTGGAACTAATTAACTTTGAAGGATCTCGTGTGCCGGTGTGTCTCCTACATATGCCTCCTATGCTGGTGTGTATACCAGCGGTAAACAGAAACTATTACTATTTGCAATAGAGTACAATGTTCCAATAAAATTTTTTAAAGGATTAGCGAGATCTACGGACTCAGAGTTACCGGAACATGTGTTCTAAAACAGGCTAGGTGAATCCTTCTTATTTGATTTTGTGCCATCGGCAAATAGGAAAGAATTCTGGGAGAGAGGGAAGAGGTGTTACATAATTTTTTTGATTTTAAGAATTATTACTTCATTTCCCTTCCATTTCCAGCCAAAATATCATTCAAAATTAAATTTGCTCTCTCAACAATCCCGGGAAGAAAATTAAAATTTTTTAAAATTAATTCAACATGTGCTGGATGGAAATAACGATAAGATTGGAAATATCCATTAATTATTGAAATATTTTTATATTTATTTTTCCAATTTATTTTATCGTTAAATAAAGGGATATACTTGCAGCAATCCTGTAAGAGAGAAAAGTTTTATTTTTCCGAAGTTTTACAATTACCTCAAAATTTGTACTTGTTTCAGTATTCTCAACAATTAATTTTTGTAATTGTTTTGCTTCAATAAACAAAACTTTTTTGTCTAAATTAAAAGCCCTTCTAAGTTTACAGTCACTTGGTAGCAGTAAATAGGCATTTTCACGTTCAGCCAAAACTCGTAAAGCAGCAAATTGGAACATTAAGTTTCCAAGTCCTGGACTGGATTTTTTAAATTTATTTGTCTAATATTGCTAAGCAAGGATGGAAAAAGGGGAGGAAAATGATCAGATAAGGCCTTCGAATATAGTGGAGGAATAGTGGAAAGAGCAGTTGATTGGTAAAAGTAGAAGACAGCAAAAAAGGAGCTGAGATTCTAATCATAATTGCCTCGCAAGAGCTTATCAATCCCTGGAAGGTCAGTCTAATAGTAATACAGTCATAAGAATGCCTTCTATCTATTCTGAAACTATATTTATTCAGTATCATCGCACGGGACTCCCAAGACCGCATACAATAAATATCATTATTACATCATACCGAGTAAGGTTGTCGGCTAGCTGGAAATCTTCGGATATCTGGATCCGATATCCGAATCGAAAATTTCCGGATATCTTGTTTTTTCGGATCCGGATCCGACAACCTTACTGCCTAGCACACGCTTTACTATGAATATTATTTTTAAAGGGAATATAGGAACTTTGGAAATTCTCTTTATAAATTAGGTATTTTTTTAAATTAATTTTGCTTTTACCTGTAAGTAAAATCTCCAGTAATATATTTAGCAATACGATTATTATTCCTAATCACTTCATCTATATTCTCATAAATTTTAGTTTCAGACAAGTCCCAAGGCTGATCAAATTCCAAGTTATCCCCTCCTCGAGGAAATACAACCGTTCTTTGTAAAACAAACAAATTTTCATTTTTAAAGTCATTTTTTGTATAAAAATAGGGGTGGATTTGTAAAAAATAAAGGAATAAAAGTATTGTAATAAAAATAAATAAACTTGAAATAAGGCAAAATATAAATTGAAAAAGCTTTCGGAAAATAAAATTTCGTAAAAAATTAATCCAAAAACGACGGGTTAATAATGAGAAAATAAAATATAGATAGCAAGTCATTATTTGCGTATATTGATTTAGCGGGATTTATTGAATTGTGTATATAAGGGATATTAATAATGGATAAAAATATTGATGGAGGTTGGATTCGTTCGCAGGTTAAATAATTGGGAAAATGAGAGAATGACCTCGATTTTTAACTAAAAGAAGCGAGGTATAACTTTAACCTAAGGGATTGACCGAAAGATACATCAGATGAAAGGGGATATAATATGTTGAATTCGTTGAATTCAATTGTTAAAAGTAATTTAAGTTAAAAGTAAAAGCAACCACATTGTTAAAAGTAATTTCCGCTATTAAAACTTTTAGGAAATCTATTGGGACCAATTCGGTAAAATGGCTTTTTTCTGCTTTTCCAAATTTTAATAAAAGACTAAAAGTCAGTAACGAATCAATTGATACCAAAATTAGTAAGATTGGGTGATACTGTCTGAAGTGAATCAAATTTTTATTGTTGGATACCATTAAGTTTCTTAAAGAATTGTTAATAAAATAAAAAAAGAAATGTCAATTTACATTAAATTTGAAAAAGTTATGAAAAAAGTTACGAAAATTTTCTGCACTTGTATATTCGTTTACGAAGCAAAAGGTTTACGGAATTTTGGTTAGAGTGATTAATTAATTAACAGAGATTAGATGATCAATAGAGAGATAGAGTGATTTGTTAATATACAGACTGATGAATATGTCAATAAGGGTAAATTTCCAGTTGATTGCGATGATAGTTCAGATCACGAGGAGGGAGAATTTAATAAAAACGAGGAACACAATCAAATTGTAGTAGAAGAACCGAATAAAGTTAACAAAAACAACAAAAAACAAATAAATTTAAATCAAAAATATTTTCCTTTTGATCTTAACGAAGAATCTAAGGATGAACAGGAAGACGATTTTTAAATAAAGATTAATTTATAAACAAAAAAGAAAATTTCTTCAAATGTTAAAAAATTTGAACTTTCGGAACCATCTGGAAAATTCATTCAAAAGACGACTGACTGTTTTTAAATATTTTTTTTCAATTTATTTTTTTCATATCTTTTAAACAAGCACTATATGTATATAGTAAATTTTGCTTGGATATCGGAATTTTGGTCACCGGCGTTGGTCACTAACTAAAAATCCGAGGTATTGGGTACTGAAATTTTGGTCACCAAATGGAGAAAACGCATTTAAAATTTTGTACAAAGAGATCCAATCTGTTGTTCACTCTATCTCTCTATTGATCATCTAATCTCTGTTAATTAATTAATCACTCTAACCAAAATTCCGTAAACCTTTTGCTTCGTAAACGAATATACAAGTGCAGAAAATTTTCGTAACTTTTTTCATAACTTTTTCAAATTTAATGTAAATTGACATGAAGAAGTGATCTGACATGAAGAAGTGATCTGCCTTTGCCTATTCCATTAGAGCTTATAAGCACCAGCCTATTTACTAATCGCTTTCCCAAGGATAAGTTAGTGGCGATGTTAATTTACTAATCGCCTATTTACTAATCGCTTTCCCAAGGATAAGTTAGTGGCGATGTTAAGCTTAGATAATGGGCGGCTAATAACTCTCTGGGAATGGCCGTTTGTAATATTCTTTCCTTTTCTCTGGGAACTTCCGCTACTTAGCACAAAGTTTATAGCGACATTATCGTTCACGTGATTTCAGGATGAACCCAGCCTTACATTATCTTCTTTATTCCTACTTTCAATAGAAGGGATGCATGCATAATAGTAGAAAGTATAATCAGCTTATCGAAACCTTCTAGTTCTGATTCAGGGTTCAATGTGGATAGTACAGTATACCGACGGCAAAATTTCGATACAAAACACATACCATTCGACTCGTCTCGACGAGCTTCAGGTGTGGAAATGCCCCCTCTGCGGAGGCCATTTGTGTTAAAAAAATTATTATTACTTTTCCTCAGTAACCCTCATTTTTGATAATAAATAAATAAATTTATGAATGAAAATTTTAGAAAATATAAGTGGGTAAATAGAGTGATCTAACCTCTGCGGAGGCCATATACATTTATAAAATAGGAAGAAACTAAAAGGAATACAATCAAATCAATTACGAATTAATTCAAATTAAATAGAAAATATAAATTTTAATGAAGACCCTCTGAGAAGGCCATACGAACAAAAAAAATACAAAAAAAAATTCTTTAGAAAATTGGCCTGTCATAGAATTTTATAAAAAGGTCCAAATATGTATTTATTGTTATATCATTTAAAACGCTGCGGCGTTCGCGAAATTTATCTCTTATTATACATTTTTATTTAAATTCTATTATACTCACATTCATGCATTACTACCTTTCTCTACAAATGGATTTCAAGATGGAAAGAGATTCTTCAAAAAAATTCTTCAAAAACTACAACAAATGACGTTTAAGGATGGAAATTAATTCTTTTAGACTTCGAAAATTTCCATTAAAAATTACATTTTGTAAGTAAACTTTTGTATATTTAATGAAATCCAAAAAAAAGGTGTAATATGTATAGCTGAGAGAGTAAGATTTTTAATAAAGAAAGTAAAGAAAAATAGGAAGAAAATCGTTAAAAATTTTTTTAGAAAAAGTAGGTAAAAAAACTAATAGAAAGATTTTCCTCTCCAACAAGCTAAATATTTTAAAATAATTTTGTAAAAAAATTTTTTTTTTTGTTTTGGATTTTCAAAGAATTTTTATTACATTATTTCTTTCCTTTAATTTCTTATATTGATTATTTTCTTTTATTGATTATTTTATTTTTTTAAAGATAATTAAACCCTGAGGGGTTCATTTAAAAGTTTACTTACTAAAATCTGATAGTTTTAAAAAAAACAACTCTTAAAATAGTTTATTTTAGTCATCCCGCGGGATTTTTGAAATTTCATTTAATTCTTTTGGAGACAAATTTATCTATAAAATTATATCTTTCTGTTAATTCAAACTATTTCCGACGGAAAAATGGTTCAAACATTTTATTTTCTTAGGAGCGATTTCTTTATGCTCAGTTTTTTTAATTTTACAATAATATTTTCACTTTATTCTATATTATTATTTTCTATTTTATTTTCCTTTTCTAAAAAAAAATTTTTTAAGGAATCCTGTTTTAAGGAATCAAATAAAATAATGGTTTATTTTTTTTGTTTTTAGATAAATTATCAGAAAATACTAAACGAATTTTGGTACTAAACGAATTTTAAAAAATATATTTTCAGAAAGTTTTCCCTCATAATTTTCAGGGTCATAAAAGTTTATTATTTATAGAGAAAGACTATAAAATGAAATGGAAAATATACTTTTTTTGGCTTTTTCATAATTATGAATCTTTTTAAATATTTTTATATATTGTTTATCATAGAGATATTTTTTCCTTTGCTATTTTATTCTCTATTATTTTCAATTATCCCCGCGGGGTACAAATAAAAGTAAATATGCAAGGCTTTATATTTTATTCTCTCATTTATTTTGGCGGAAACTAAATTCATATTTATCGATATCAAAATAGTCCTGAACGCTGTTTCAGCCCTGCGGGGTCCCACAATTTTAAAACAATTAGTGCATAAACTTAGCCATATCTAAAATAGTAGCCATACATTTCAACGCTAATCAAAAAATATTTTGAACTCATCTATTAAATTATCGTTCTTCTTCACCTCTTGAAATTAATTTCATTACTAAATGATTCATTTTCAGATCTGTCTTAAAAATTAACTGGGCAAAAAGAAGAGCACAATTTTTAGAAATTAGCTCTCTTTTCTCTAATTTTCGATTTATTAAATAAACAATTCACACAAATCTAGAATTTTTATTTTATAACCTTAACTACTACAATTTTTATTACTCTGTTTTCCTCTAAGGTGTATCAAGACTGAAAAATATTTATGGGCTATATTCTCAACTAGTCAATCAAGAGAAAACTATAACCTCTGCGGAGGCCATACAAAATATTATTAGTGACCATAAGTTCCAAAGTTCTTACTTTTCATTTTCTGGTCTTAATTATTTTACATGCGGGCCTCTTTTTTAAAAATTGTGTGAAATAAAGGGGAATTTTAATGTTTGGAATTTAAATTCTTCCATTAATTTGATTATACATTAATTTGATCTTCCATTAATTGATTTTAATTCTTTATAATTCTCTCTTTAAATTTTGGTTTTAAATTTTTTTTGGTTTTAATTCATTTTTTGGATCATTGAGCAAAAATTGTTTTTTGTAAAAAAAAATCCAAAATATTTACACTACATGAAGTTTAACTTTGATGTCTAATTTCTCCATCAAAAAAGATCAATTATAAAAAAACCAAAAAGGATCAATTCTGAGAGAAAAATTAAACATTTTCACATGAGGATTAACAAAATTTCATAGGTCTGCAAAAAATAACTTTTGCGTGGGCCCTCAAAAATACTAATAGAAAAACTATATTTCTCAAAGCTGAACCAGTTTTACTTCATAACCTGAGGGTTCCATTTAATATTAAAATTCTGAGGGCAGACATTATGTTTTCGGTCTTCCTTTTTTTCTTCTTTCTAATTGCCCAAATTTCCTTCAGTTTTCCCAAAATCGAAAATATACAAAAAATTTTTTTAAGGAAAATTACAATTTTTTCTTGAACAAAGTCCATAAGAAAATCTACTTTATTACACAAATTCAAAAAATTAATTTTTTTTATTTTTCTATTATTAATGTTTCCCACAGGAATTATTACTATAAGCCACATTAATATCTTCTCAGTGATCGGAAGTCAATTTTACAATAAAATTTTCTTCCTTTTTATTTTAATGAAAACAATTCCCAGGGGCCTATTTCAATTGTCCACAGATTCTGCATTCTGTGCACAGAACACAGATTCTGTGGAAATTCTGTTTCAATTAAATTCTGTGTGCACAGAATCTGTGGTGCCCGCAGATTCTGCGGAAACATCCAATGATTCTGTGGAAACATTCCGCAGATTCTGTGGATGAAAATTTCTGTGGAAAATATAAAAATCTGTGGATTTTTTCCACTGATCCACAGAATTTG